TTGGCTAAAAGAGATGATTTGTTATCACATTTGTGCCGATTCCGAAAAAGAAACATCAACATTATCTGTATCAATAATTTTCTTAATAATGTTGAAATTTTTACAGCTCTTTCTACGAAACCGACATTCTCATGATACTTGGAGATTTATTTGAAAAAAAAGCCAATAAATTAAATGATTGTAGAATGAATTTATTCCATGAAAATCAACTTTCAATACGAATTTCAAGCTATACTTATCGAATAGCTGACAAAATTAATGAACAAAACCACATATCTTACTTTAAAGAAAATTAAAATTTCTCAGTACACCCCGAATTGGGCAAAATCTGGGAGGCTATATTTGAAACTTCAAACAGTTCATAAACATCATTTGCCAAATGTTTCAAGTAATTTGATCACTTGATACATTTTTTGCGCTGAATTATAAATTGTACTGATACTAAGAATAATTCAGCCTTTTATAATCATTTTGTGATAAAATGCAAGGAACCCAATAAAATATATTTTTTTATTGACGAACAGTTCATTCTATAATCATTTATCATACTGGGTTTGAAACATTAATATCTTGATAACTGTACATGATCTGTGATGGCTTGATTAGGTCTTTTATAAGTTTATTACCTAGATATCGGAATGAACAAAATTAATTACTCATTATTTAACTAATATAGCACAAAAATGCACCAATTGAAGCAAACGTTGAAAAAAAATGCACAAATTCAGTCACTACGACAGCTTTATCTTCAACCCCAGATATTCATTTATCTAGAAATTATAACAATGACAAAGGACCCCGCACGAAAACACGGGAAATTGGCTCTCGGTCGAATTGGCTGAAATTTCACTATGTTTTTGTGGGATAGCTCATTAAAAAAATATGAGAGTTTGAAAAGTTTTGTATGTTTAGTTTCTGAGATATAAGCCGATTAAGTTCGTGAAAACGTCGTATCGGGGTAGGATTGACAAAGAAAAAAACTGTTTTTTTTCATAAATAAGACAAAATAAGCTAGAAAATGTATTGATCGGAACTCAAATACATGTCTAGTTATGATCACATCAATTATAGTAAATCAGGGTGTATACGAGGCACGGTCAAAAAATTCATTTTTCGGAATAATTAATTCGGGCACTATTCCAAAACCAACAAGTTATATTTTGGTGAGATATTATAGTTTTAGTCTATTGTAGGCTTCGAAAACGTATTTTTATTCTCGATAACTGTCTCTGTTCAAAATATGAATTATATGAATTCTATGAATTTTGTGTCATACCCCTTTTGGAAATCAATTGACAGCTTGTTTTTTATCACTAAAATAGGGATTGATTGATACTGTTGATTGAATGAAAGCTGAGGTAACTCACTAGCGAATTCAGTTGTTCAAGATTATTTAAAATGTTTCAATTGAATATATCGAAAACCGAGTCGAAAACAGTTCCGTTAATTTCGATCTCATTTTACTCACACTATTTTGAATATGTTGACTATCAGATGCAAAAAGTTTTTCAATTTTTTATGTTTTGTTTCTGAGATATGCATTTTGAGTTTACAGTATTACAGGTATTATAAGGTTATAACCTCGGATATTACTATCGATTCAACAGAACTTTACGGAATCCTGTTGAGTTTCATATTGTTTTTCAATGTGGTTCGTGTTGTTTATAGTAACAAATTATTGATCTCTAATGGTTTCATAATGTAATTGAATGTTCGAAAGATCCCGTAAAGTTCTGTTGAATCGATAGTAATATCCGAGGTAATAACCCTATAATATACCTGTAATATAATAAATACTATGAAAATGATATCTCAGAAACGAAACATACAAAATTGAAAAACTTTTTGCATATGATAGTCAACATATTCAAAATAGTGTGAGTAAAATGAGATCCAAATTAACGGAACTGTTTTCGAGATATTCAATTGAAATATGTTAAATAATCTTCAACAAAATCTAACACACCCTGTATCTAAATGGAAGGCAATATTGAACAACTGAATTCGCTAGTGAGTCACCTCAGCTTTCATTCATTCAACAGTATCAATCAATCCCTTTCTTTGTGATCAAAAACAAGCTGTCAATTGTTTTCAAAAAAGGGGTGTAACACAAAATTCTGAAAATTTATATTTCGAACAGAGATAGTTATCAAGAATCAAAATACGTTTTCGAAGCCTACAATAGACTAAAAGTATGATGTCCCACCAAAATATAACTTATTGGTTTCGGAATAGTGCTCGAATTTTTTTCCGAAAAATGAATTTTTTGACCGTGCCTCGTATGCACCCTGATCTACTATAATTTATGTGATCATAACTAGACATGTATTTGAGTTCCGATCAATACATTTTCTATCTCATTTTGTCTTATTTATACTAAAACAACAGTTTTTTTCTTTGTCAATCCTACCCCGATACGACGTTTTTACGAACTTTGTCGGCTTATATCTCAGAAACTAAATATACAAAACTTTTTTAACTCAAATATTTTTCTAATGAGTCGTCCCACAACAACATAGTAAAATTTCAGCCAATTCGACCGAGAGCCAATTTCCCGTGTTTTCGTGAGGGGTCCTTTAATATGAATAAAAAAACATAGTTCAATTCTACAGATGTGCTGAAGAGCTAAAAAACAATACAATTTGTAATCATGATTCTGTAATTATGATTCTATGTCAGAATGTTGACAGTCAGGAATCTCAAATATGTGAAAGATTCATTACAGTATCTTGTATAACTATAGAAGGTTCTAGTGTGAATTGAATTTTGTTTATTATCAATTCTGATTATTCCTGGCATAGTATTTTGATTATTACTGTTATGTTATCCCTAAAAACAAGAACAGAACAGAAAGTTAGGTAACGTAAAATTTTCTATGATACTGCCAAGATAATAAACTAACTTATCTGCATGCTTCAACTGGCTGCCAAAAAATCAACTTCTATACATTCCCGATACCTAGACACCAACGTACAAGCTATGAAAGACAACTAACCTCTCCCCCTCCGATAGGACCTTGGATCCCTCAACCGGCCAAACAAAAAACTCGATAAAAACAAGGTTGGTAGATCTGATCATTCGTATATAGGAGGTTGACACGATCGAAAATGTCGCGATGAGAAATAGTCACTTTTGATCACACCCGAAACAAATAATGATCTTACAAACATACACTCATCTGCCAAAAAACCAGCCACCAATAAATTTGCCCAAATTGTCGACCCTATATATTTTTTAATCCCTCTGAATTGGGCTGAAGATGGACTTCTATGAGTCGAAAACATGTCCCCTTGAATAATTACAACATTAAAATATTGTGATGACTTTGAGCCTTCCTTGTTCCCTATGAAAAATTCCGCTCCACTTTGAGCAAACATATGGACTTCTACCAGGGCCTACTCTATCTCACCGGGCCGTAGTCTATCCCCTCTACCTCGATGCTGATGTCACACCAGTAGGTTGAGATTTCACATCATTTCATATCGGTGCGTTCGAAATTGAAAGGTCATAGGTCATTTACTTTGAAAATTAGAAGCACACTCAATCGAGACGAATTGATCCCTGATGAACTACCCTATTTAGGGTAAAAAAATAAATTCATTAGGATGAACCAGTACCGATTTATGATTTTGTAAAGAAATCAAATTATAATGAAAATCAGGACGTTGTACTACGGAATACTATTTTTTGACTCGGTTTAAAATGAAACTGAGTGAGTATGTCAAACTAGGATGATGCATCATGTAAATTCGCGGGAATCAATGTTACCAGGTGGCGCTCGGTTTTCATCGTTCCATGTCAAAATCACGTCAAAACTGGAGGAAAACAAACTCAATCCTCACTCAGTCCCATTAGCTTGTGTACTGATAGGAGTGATGTTTTTAAATTTCTTGACATTAATTGTCAATATTCGATCGAAAACGCTAATAATGCCTGTTGTAGATGTTCTATTGGCAGATATTTTGCTCTATTCAGATGGAAAAAGCCGACCAGTAGTGGAAGGAGAAGCAGTTCTCCGTGCTAATCATGTGATTTTGTGTGAGGTAGAAGACTTCAACAAAAGGCACATTTTTGCACTTTGTCTACAAACTTCGGCGATGAAATCTTCCCCACATGAAGTAAAATTGGAGTTGGGGTCCAGAGGAACTCCTGTAGAACAATGGATTTGTATTTGTTCATGCAAAGGAGGACACTCTGGGTATTGTAAACATGTTGTAGCTGTTCTTTTATATGTCGATTGATTTGCTCGTCATAATTAGTTTGAATTGTTTGAACTATCTCCAATTCTTCACCCGTTCACTGTTCAATAAACTGATAAAAGTGTAATAATGTAAAAAATTATCCAACTCAAACATCATCACTACCAACAGTGCCAACACTTTATGTCATTGACAAGTTTGACTACAGCTACAGCAAGCTGAATGCAATGTAGTCTATGCACTTTATCCATAGACAACAGTTTGTTTTCCCCCAGTTTGAAGTTCGTATTATGTAACCTAGATGTCGCCCACTTCGTGAATCTCGCGAATAGTGAGAAAATTATTGAGCTACCTACAATGATTTCGAAATAAATTAAAAATAAAGAGCGCGTAAAAATTTGTCTAGTATTATACCTACCTAATTTCCCCGTATTAACGATTTCGCGGCAATTCCCTATAGGTAAAGGGCAATGCACGTTTTATTACTCATGTTCCAGTTGTGGGTCTTTTGATATTTTGAAAACTATATTGAATGTTGTATTGAATAATTAGGTATTACATATGAAATATAGCGGAATTCAGTCAAATAATAAGGATAGAAGAATCATCAGACTTTCCGGATGAATATGAAGCTTTGAGCCCATTTTTCAGTTTGTGATATATATATTTTGTTGTAAGTACATGTTATTTTGTAATATCTGGCTATTTTTCCTCTTATATTATGTTGAACATTCTCAGAATGGCTTTCGTTTAGTATATTGTGTGTATGAGAACTACTTATTTTCCATTCTTTTTAATTTTCATATTTTGAAACTGTTTTCAAATCAATTTATCTTCATTAATATGAGATTATTTCTAAAATATATAATTCATAGCTGAAAATAATTAATTCGCTGTCAGGGTTTTGCGTAACAACTTCTACTCGGGTAGGTATATAATTTCTAACGTCATCAAAGTGTGTCCAGATTATCTTTAGACATAAACGCTGCTAAAATCCTCTGAGATACAGTGAAAGTGTATCATATTGATTTATAGGCAATGAAATGTACTAAGTCAGTGACAGCATATATCCATAACTAATAGGTTTAGCATGGGGGCCGTCTAAACTTTTTGAACTAGTCTGTAATAATCATCTGAATCACCATTATACTGGAATCGAAATATCGGTTTGTTATTGAATTTGGGAATTTTGAAGAAAATTACAGTCAATCTAGATACTATGAGAAGCATTTGCATGGTGGAATCATTTCTGTGAATTGAATATTGAAATTCTAGCAGCTGCTTAAAAAACGACAATTAGGAATGTAGTCAATTCATTTTGATATGCTATATTTCTTGAACTATTAATCGTAAACCAGTGAATATTGAATCATCTCTCGAAGAAGTCTAGTCTGTACATATTTGACCTATTGACATTTTTCGATAACTGTTACCGTTTCCCCGTGGGACATCAATGAATTGGAGAAAGCAATCTCCAGCGCCTCGATTTTGTCCCTACTAGGTGACGTCATGAAAGCGATGCTCCGGCCGGTGAGATAGTGTAGGCCCTACTTCTACCAGAGATTTTATACAAAAATGACTATGAACTGAACATGAAATCCTCTCTAAAACCACCTCCCTTCACCCAGCGTATTCCCATCGAGCCAACCTCCCTACGCACCATCATCCACCTCCACCGACCTATCGCTTCACCCCCTTACCAGCCCCTCAGAACAGCCTTGGCGAGTGCAGCCCCTCCGTCTGGTGGTCGAGCTCGGGGTTGTGGCTGCAGCCCATCGGGTCCCAGTCGTGCAGCCCCTCGCCGTTGGCCAGCCGGTGGGTCAGCCGATGGGCTATCGAGAAGCCGCCGCTGCCCTCGAGCTGCGTTAGTACTATGATCACCTGACGAGAAAAACGCTCAAATCATACTTTTATAAATGTTGGTAGAAGTCCATAGTAGCTCAAAATGGAGTGATAGGTTTTTGGATGTATGATAAACCCAATATTTTTGACTAAACAATTTGATGTGGAGTACCGCAAGGATCAGTTCTGGGACCAATTTTATTTTTAATTTATATTAATTCAATATCAACTCTGAAATTGAAAGGAAAGTTAAAATTATTTGCGGATGATATAACATTGATTTATATATTCAAAGAATTAAATGATATCGAACGGGATATTACAAGTGATTTGGAAAACATATCATCTTGGATGCAAATTCATAAGTTGACTCTTAATTATAACAAATCTTCATATATGTATATTTCCAAAAGATCAGTTAATATTGCGAATAATGCTATAACTTTCAACAATAGATTAATTGAATATACAGACGTGACAACATTTTTAGGTCTCTATATCGACGAAAAATTATTATGGACTAAACATATAGACTATTTGAGAAATAAAATAAATCCGATCATAGGCATTTTATTCAAAATCCGAAATATTATGCCCATAAAATACTTGAAATGTATTTACTTTTGCCTCATTTATTCAAATTTGCAATATTTAATTTCTATTTGGGGGAGTACAAATATTTCACGTCTGAAACCACTAATGAAATCACAAAACAAATCAATTAAGTGCATTTTTCATCTACATTTTCTAGAACCAACGATAAATTTATACAAACCAAGACATTTTCTGAACCTGATTTCGTTATATAAACTTAAAATATGTTGCTTTATTCATTTTGCCAGGAATAAGTTGAAAATATCAAATTTAGCTTTCAATGAAGTCAATACAGTCCATAATTATGGGACTAGACAATTGAATTACTTGATAGCAAATACATTCAAGTCAAACATTGGCAAACAATCTGTTTTTCACAATGGAATAATTTTATACAATTCATTACCGAATGAGTTGAAAAATATACATGATGCAAGAAGGTTTAAAATCAATCTTGAAAAATACTTGCTCAGGACAATTTGATAGAAAAATATGTGGCATGATTTGATTACTTAGGAATGAAATATAACTTTAATCTTATAAGACACAATATTAATTCGTTCCCACTGAGTGGAATTCATTATAGTTAACCCTTTATTATTGTTTTTTTTATATGTATTTATGTATCCCTATCATAAACAGAAATGTTTCTTGGGGTAATAAAGACAATCAATCAATCAATGTGAATAACTGGGTCCACCTTTGTTTATGCGTCCATGGTCATCATCCTGCTTCAAGTATAGACATCAAATGTCATACACCAATTGAAATTTTAATCACTTCGGCAGTTCCTCAAGGAGCTCATACAGTTCAATTCATTTGTTAATGACGTATCTTCATGCTTTAAATTCAGTTCAATATTATTATATGCTGACGATATGAAAATATATCTCAAATTGGAGGGACCCTCCTCCTCAACCCACCTTCAAGAGGATTTGGACAGGTTCTCTGTGTGGTGTCACAACAAAAAAACTAGTTCTGAATATTTCCAAATGTAAATATATTCGTTTCAGCAAAAATCACAGCATGATTAACAATGATGAGTACTAAATGATGTGGTCATTGAAAATGTAGACATTATGAAAGATCTACGTATACTTTTTAACTCTCAACTTAGCTTTATTCCTTATATTGAATTTATATGTAACAAAGCTCTGAAGATGCTAGGGTTCATCAAACGATCAACAAAGGACTTTCATAATATTGTTGCGTTGAATTCTCTTTACTTTTTATTTGTACACTCTCAACTTGAAAATAGCAGCTCTGTATGGTGTCATGCCTTCCGATCTAAAAATATTGTCAATTAGTTTTTTTATATACAGTCTGTCCAAGATAAGGTTGAACAGCATGGGGATCTCGAAAACGGTAAGAGATACGAAGTCGGTTAAATGGGGAAAAAGTTGCGCATTCGGAGGCTCATATCAAGAGCCTTCGAGAATTTTAAAAATTATTTTCAGTTTTTGAGTTATATCGAAAAAAGTGAATTTTTGGAATATCTATCTCTTTTTCTCCGTTATTATTAGAGATACAGCGAAACTGAGAATACTTTTTCAGAGCAACTTTTGATGACGTTCAACGTGGTGATACCGATTTTTTTATGCGACGTTTCGTATTCGTGGAACCATCATCAACTTTTGTTTTTTAAATACGGTCCTGATAATTTTTTCACAGATTCTGAATGGTTTTTTCATTTTGAATACAACCATGTATTATACAAAGTGGTTTATGTGTGTTTCGACCTATTTTCAGCCATCATCAATGTTTTTTCGAAATTCAAAAGAAAAATGCCATCAGTTCCACTTATTTTGAAGGAAAATTAGTCAACACACTAATACCTCATCAACTTGTTTTAATCAACAACTCATTTCATTTTGCGGCAACAAAAATTCCGTCCATAAAAATTCAGAATATGTCAAGCGCTAAAACTAGGCGATGACGAAAGGCACAGGACATTCTGTGAGTGGTGTACCAGGAAATGTTAAAATTTTGCAGATTTCTTTCGAACCATCATCTGGACTGATGAAAGCATGGTCACTAATTATGGTAGCTTCGATAGAAAAAATACACATTATTGTTCACGAGAAAATGAACATTTATACATTACAGCGAGACACCAACACCGTTTCGGCTTTAATAGGTGGGTCGCAATATTTGGTACACGAATTATTGTTCCTTCTATTTACCATGAAACACACTTCCGAACGTTATAGAAATTCGCTTGAGAATCATTTTGAGGAAGCTCTGGATGATTCACCGATTGCGGAAGTTCAGAACTGTTGGTTTCAACAAGTTGGCGCTCCGGTACATAATTCTAGAGAAGTCCGTGCGTTCTTATCCCTTGGCCGGCGCGGTCGCCTGATTTGACACAGCTGGATTTTTTCTTAGGAGATATATATCGAACTTTGTACACGCAAATAACTTTGATGATGAAGAAGAACTAAGGGACAGTGTCTTCGAAGCATTCAATAGAATAACCCCATAAATGCTTAGCAATGTCTTAGAAGCAACTGTGAGAAGAGCATATCTTTGTTCAGAAAATAATGGTTATCATTTTGAACATTTGTTATGAATGTCTCTGTAGGTATTGTCAAAGTCAAGTTGTTAAAGTAATTCGTGCAAGAATTCATCAACAATTTTAAATGCTGCATTGATCGAATGATGTAGTGAATTATTTTTTATTCACTTTCCAGTATTGAATAACTAATCCATCAAGTTTGACACTAAATGATCAGGAATAAGTGGAACTGATGGCTTTTTTCCTTTGGAAGTTCGAAAAAACATTGATGATGGATAGAAATAGGTCGAAACACATTCGAATCACCTTGTATAGTACATGGTTGAATTCAGAATGAAAAAACCTTTCAGAATCTGTGAAAAAATTATCAGGACCGTATTTAAAAACCAAAAGTTGATGATGGTTCCACGAATACGAAACGTCGCATAAAAAAATCGGTATCACCACGTTAAACGTCATCAAAAGTTGCTATGAAAAAGTATTTTCAGTTTTTCTGTATCTCTAATAATAACGGAGAAAAAAAATAAAATAAAAATTCCAAAAATTCACTTTTTTCGATATAACTCAAAAACTAAAAATAATTTTCAAAATTTTCGAAGGCTCTTGATATGAGCCTCCGAATGCGCAACTTTTTCCCCATTTAAGCGACTTCGTATCTCCTACCGTTTCCGAGATCCCCATGCTGTTCAACCTTATCTTGGACAGACTGTATATATTATATGTTTATGTATCCCTATTACAAACAAATATGTTTCTTGGGGTTATAAAGAACAACAACAACAAATTGACCACGACCGGCAAGCGAATGTGGATTAGAATATAGACACTCTGTCCACGCGGCTACCTCATATCATGAAAATAGAAAGAGTTCAGAAACGTTTTCTGCATTATATTGGTTTCAAGCTCGGTATTCTTATGGAGTAATTTAATTATGACAGTATTTCAAATTGCCTGAACATAAAAAGCCTAGAAGAGCGTAGAAGCAACACTATTCAAGAAATATGTAATGATGAGATTGATAGTCCTGAATTATTGGTCTCCCTCAAATTTCATGTTCCTCAAAAACGATAACGTTATAGCAGCACATTCAATTTAGAAAATCATAGAACTATATATGCAAACCCGATAAACAGGATGATGACGCTTAGTAACAGAGTGAACTGGGACATTTTTGACACTGGCACTGAAAGAGCCAAACGCATTCTTGCCCTAATGTAATGTCTATGCAGGGTGTCATTTAAGTATGTGGCCAAACTTCAAGGGACGATTATTCGGGTGATTCTAAGACGAGAAGTTCATATAAACATAGGTCCTGAAATGTTTCGTTTTCAAGATACAGAGTTTGTTGTTTTCCATGATTACCCTGTATAAGCTTTCATGATGGCAAAATTTAGTCTGGCTGGTGACTGAGAAAGTCTCAAAATTTCAGAATGATACTCATTGAGGTTATTCGGTGATCCCAATGGGAGTATTGAGGGCACCTACATTGGAATTTTGAATTGAATAAATTTTTCATTATATCCTCAGAAACTGATATATATTGATATACAAAAATTCAATAGGATACACGAAAGCTGTATTTTCAACTGTTTGATCTGGTAAAAAACTATGACGTAGGTACTTTATCTACCATAAATATCGAAAAGGTAACCCCACTGCGACGCCACTGGAATTATAATTTCGAATCTACACCAAAAGAAGCTTCTTGTACTGTTAACAAAATCGTCCAGTTTCACTGAAATTGGAAAACAGAATCTTGAGTAATAAATAAGAAAACTATTTTTAATTAAAATTTTGATGCCCTGTATCTTGAAAACGAAGCATTTTTCGATCTATCTTTATAAGAACTTTTCGTCTTAGAACCACCAGAGTAATCACCCCTTGGAGTTTGGCCATATACTTATATAACACTCTGTATATGTATAAATGTATCTTCATTAATGTTCTGTGATACGTTTAGGAATCTGTTGTATAGGCTATATATTTATGTTATTTTTCACACTGAGTTCGCCTGTCAATAAATAAATAAATAAATGAAGACCTTACCCTGTATGGGCAACTCATGTGGATTTCAATTTTGGCTCACCTGACGCGTCATCGGAGGCACGGAGTCGACAGTGCGCAAAGTGCCCCTAGTCGAAACGACGTTGTAGCTCTCCTGGCAGTCGCACTTCACGTGGATCCACTTGTTCTCGTGCCGGTTCTCCACCATCACGACCAGACCCGCCCAGCCTAAGATTCGAATGGGATAGAGTGAGTGTATATCAAACCTCTTTGACATTTCACGATGTTCAGTAGAGAGTGAGCACCTCGGACTGAATAATAAATCAATCGAAAGTATATGCCGACAATCCTTGAAGGCGAACAAGGGTGAATGGATGAATTGGCGAATGGTGGGGATAACTATGCAGAATGATTGCCAGAGAATTGATATGTTTTGTAAGAGATATGAATTAACCAACAAAATGAACGTCCTTGTCCAAAATATAGGCATTATCGACATACTCATGGATCCCATAACTAATTTCTATTCGGTTTTCATACTTGGTTAACCCAATCTTTCAGTGACTCGTTAGTGCAATATTAGAAAATAACAATTTCAGATGACCGTTCTACAGGATAATTGAAGTGGTGTAAAATTGCTGCGGTGTCGTTATGTTCCCGATTGAGCAAATATTTTTTCTCGGCCATGATCATGAAACGGATATGTTTTCTAGAATTAATTTCGAAATTTCCTATTATGTCGCATACATTTTTTTTTTTTTTCGAAACGATGCATTTTTATCCGAAGGTATCTCTAGGGCACAGATCCCCTATGATTTTTCATTGATTAACATCATTTCAAGCATCTCATTTCGTTAGAAGGATCAGAGAAGATGAAACTAACAAATTTTGATACATTCATTCTTTGATTGGCGAAAAAGGTTTTGTTTAGTCGACCAAAAATCATAAGAGAATTGTGTGTTCAGAGAAGTTTTTCCAATATTTCCATTAAACACATTTTCATCGATTCAGTTCCAATCAGTTCTGAATAATGATAAATGGATAACTATTTTTCAATGAATGTTATAGAGAAAATATTTTCTCAGAATTAGATATATCATTTTTCGAAACATAGGTAACAGATAGAATTCAATATCCTGCAGTATTCGTCAGGAAAGTAGTTATTTTCTGTTAGATATTCTAACAATGATTGTCTTGTGAATAAATTTCTATTATATTTATTCCATTCTAATGTTTCTTTCCTGCATGCTGAGCTGTGTTTGAATTGTAGCCAGGTAAATGCTTGACCCGCACAGACTGGATTCCGGTTATTGGCTCTAATCAGTGCAAGGTAGTCACCATCCAAAGCAAAACCTGACCCAACGACAACCCAAATCGACATTCATCTACACAGGGACTTTGGCCCATGGCAACATAGAAACAGCGACATTTAGAGTAGAGGGAAAGAAACACTCCGAAAATTGATATCTAATGTCAGATCCAAATATACAGGGTGTTTCAGTTTTCTGTAGCAGGACTACAACAGATTGAAGAAGACATTTTTTCAAGATGAAAATCTCATACAAACATATATGCGTGGAAGCTTCGTTTCCGATTTACAGGGTGTCAAAGTTTCAGATTTTTTTAATGTTTTTTGAATTTTCTCCTACAATTTTCGGAATAATTGATTGAAATTCACACACACTTCAAAAACTTAATATTTGAGGCTATTGAGCGTTCTTGGATACCTACAGGGTGATAGAATTTCAGGTGTCGTACCCAATTCAACCCTGTAGAACTTTTTTGCGTGCCGTTTCTGCTTTCAATGGGCCGTAGATTCAGATTGTCCTTTCAAATTGGAAACTTTTTGCCCTCATGTACATTTTTCGAAAACTGTATGGATCTCGAGATAAATGCCATAAATAAATTACTTGTAATAAAACCGTTATTTCTCAAACACACTTATTTGACATATCTCAAACATTTTATTGGAAAATAGAATGACCGAAAGCTTCCATACCAAATGAAATACAGTTGCAAAATTAGATTGAATTCTTTGAACACCATTATAATTGAAACTAGGAAAAACAAAGAAATAATGTTTTTATTTTAAGAAAACTTCTCTAACTGGATTGCAAAATCTGAAATCAGGGACTGTATGATACACGGTCTAGGCGCTATACATCGCTAGACTGTCGCTTCTGACGGTTGAGGTGTTGTGAGTTCTGATAATTTAATCTCGTGAACGGCAGTTCTAATTTTATCAGTACTCTTAGAAGTGGTTCGGATTCCACTTTTATTTATCTCGAAATCCATACAGTTCTCGAAAAACATAAATGGGGGCAAAAAAAATCCAAATTGCAGAGACAATCTGAATCTATGTCCCATTGAAAGCAGAGGCGGCACGCAAAAAAATTCTACAGGGTTACATTGGGTACGACCCCTGAAAGTCTATCACCCTGTAGGTATTCAAGAATGCTCAATAGCCTCAAATATTGAGTTTTTGAAGTGTATTAGGTATACCAAATTTCAATCAATTATTCCGAAAATTGTAGGAGAAAATTCAAAAACATAAAAAAAATCTAAAAGTTTGACACCCTGTGAATCGGAAACGAAGCTCCCACGCATATATGTTTGTATGAGATTTTCATCATAAAAAAATGTCTTCTTCAAGCTGTTAAAGTCCTGCTACAAAAAACTGAAACACCCTACCCTGTATTACCAAAGTTGATGCAGTAAAGTATTTGGGAATTCACTTATATTGCAAGCTCAAACGGCATAAACGAATTAATGAATTGATACAAAAACTAAGGAGAACACTCTAAAAATTCAGGTTAGTGAGAAACATTGTCAGTCGGAATTTGATTATCAATTTCTATTATAGTATTTTTCAATCTATTCTGGCTAATGGCATAATAGGCTGGGGAGGTAAATATAAACAAGCGTTGAAACCACTTGAAAAGTATCTTCAAAAAACCTATGAATGAGAAAACTCCTAATTTCATAATTCCATGTCTGTATGTTAATGCAGTTATCAAACGGAAATTTCTAAAGATTTCCTTTACCTTTGGTGAGGTAGTAAGCAGTCATGCCCTCCCTTCCTTCGTGTCGCTGGCCCCGCGCCAGAGTGAGGGAAATTATTGCATCTGCCAGAATATGGCTGGGAGGGTTGATGTTCTCGGCGACCAATTTCTTTGAACTATGTATCGCCAGCACATACCTATACGAAAGTAATCATCAAAAAACCGGATCTGATTTTCGTGAATCAATTATCAGCTCATGCAAGACCAACTGTTTCGGCTTCATCATCAGTTGCACTCAGTCAGCTTCAGATTCACGAACGGTGCCCAAATATATGCAACGAAGCAGAATTTTTATTGGCGATAAGGACGTTATAGCTTTCGGAGCCACTTAGTGGCAAAAGTATAAACGTTTATACATGGTGAAATAATACTCCAGGAATCGATAGAACTCGATGAATTATTATCATCTTTATGACGGTTTGTTTTTAAGATATAGGGTGTTGGTTATAACTTTATCTCAATAACAAATCGTTTAACTATAATTCAAAACTATAAACCACTTTTGTGACAACACCGCTACGTAATGCCTGCGAGAATTGCCGAAGTTGTTAAATCGTTTTTCGAAATTTTATGCAACGAAATGGAATGATAGATACCTAGTTCATTTGTATATTTGTGGTTATAATGTTACCTTGGCACAGTTTTTCTATCAACATAACAAAAAGTAAATAATAATAACAAAATTCCATAACCGGAAGTATATACGTTCATAGAAAGAGATAAATTGAATTTCATCTAGTCCTGGAGCATTATCGATCAAAACTTGATCATCCTTCATATAGCGTTTTTGGTTGCCGACCAGTCTGACCAACCAGCCGTTAATGTCACGTGACTGATCCCAATAACAAACACGATTGGTTTCGATCGGTCGCTTGTGAACAGAAACGGCAAAAACCGTGAACTTCACTGCTCAATCCATAATATACCATAAATACCACATGCTGATATCCTAAAAATCACATATATTAGGAATCATCTCTTTTATCAGTCATTGAATTCCTCGAGATAGATTCTGTAGATGGAATAATAATTTTGAGCTGTCTACCAGAAATATTTCGCTCAGATGAATCATGCAGTAATGTAACGCTATTCTTTGTTAAATTATTAGCAATTTGAGTTACTCATTTCGAAGACTCTAGATACCCTTGTCACTTTCCGAGTAATTGGATTGTTTTGAGGTTATATTTTATATCCTTAAACCACATCGACCATCAAAAAGCCCAGGCGATGTGGTCTTGGATCGGTCGGTCCTGGTCTTCAATAAAAAACATTACCATTCGGAGATCAGTCAATGCGGTCATCGATTAGAAACCCTGCGGTCGAAGTGTGGCCCAAGTGGTCGCAACCGGTCGGCAATCAAAAACTCTATCATAGTAGGTTGAATGAAACAACATTACGTAGGATTTGTAGGAATCTGTCCAACATGAAACCTCACGTTTGCGTTTCAGAGATTGATGAAAAATTGAAATGGAACAAGCATATAGATTATAGAGGTTCTGATACAAAGAATATCTCCAATCATTGGAGCTTAGCGAAGATGTCCTAAACTTGGCAAAAAAGTCATTAACATAGTACTTCATTCTCATATACTCAGTCGTATTACCTATACGATAAACGTTTGGGGATCTTGTTCAAAAAATTATATCAGTGAAATATCTGCACTTTATATGAACTCACAAATATTATTCTATCGGCTCTCATTTGATATCCCAACAAATGATCTGTATGCGATAACAGAAACATTTTCATTGGATGAATTATATAAGGTAGATTCTCTTTAAGTTTCATATAATATCATAGCTGAATTCAGTAAATTACCACATAAAATAAAAAATTGCAGACATATTTCCAAATTTGAAATTGAATTAAAAAAGCACATGATTTTATAACGAAATGAATAAAATTGATATTTTGTCATCTACTGATTAGTCCCTGTTGCTATTTTTATGACTTGATCGATTTAGCATCTGTCACCTTATACCATACCAGAATTTATTTCTGACTGGAAGCTAGTTTCTCATTAAACAATAAACACGAGATGGCTTTGTAGGCTATAACACCCTTCTTGATATTACCTGGGATAGGCGGTCACATCATCTAATCCCGTATGCCAGTGATTGAAGGCTAAAGGCGCTACCACATATTCGCCGGCTTCCAGCATCTTATTGCACCCGACGAAGCCTCTGACTTGCCTTTTACTGTGCTCGACCAGATTGCCTATGGTCGTGCCGGTCCTAGCTTTGAACAGTACCACGCACAGGTCCAGTTGGGACCTCTGTGATTTTTCGGATTTTCTTTGGCCCTCCTGCATTGGATGAATAGCCTCGATTATCAACACTAACAAGATGAACCATCCTAATGAGAGCAGTGAAGCCAGAAATTTTACTCAATAGGTGGCGGTATCTATGAGCGACAAGGATAACTACTTTTTGTTGAGTAGCGAAGGGTAGAGATCGGTAATGCAGAATATATTCGACGTTTACGTCTAGATGTTTTTATGTGAGAAGGAATATGTCGCATCAGGGCCGACCTTTATTATTCAAAAGTCAGAATATCAGAGTAAGTGATTATCCTGCTTCAGAAAGAAGGATATTCCTGGATAGTTCAGCAACTAGAAGATAGATGGAGCCGAGCAGATTCCGAGAGTATAGACAAATCGGGCATATTTCGAGTTTTGCTAGCGCCGCCTACGAACCAGCGAAGAACTAAGGCTAAATTTTGCTTCAACCTTCAACATTTTACATGGATGTAGATCATCTTGTTAGTGTGAATTACAGTAAATAGTCAAGGGCGCTAGTCAAATCTTGATAAGCAGAAAAAATGTGATTCGTGAGGAACAAGAGGAATTTCAAAGTATGAATATAGAAGGGAAATTTAGAAGAATCTAATGAGCTCTTGAACTTCTTCATTTATTTCATCATAATTACTTTCTTCATGAATTTGGGGCAACCTAACGGTGATAAATCCAAGTAACAAGAAATTTAAAATGTCCAAGTTTTTTTATGGCAGATGGACGCAACTGTCCTGAAGAAATTGTCAATCTATCAAGCATACAAACATGTTCACTTTGGGTTTGTAGATTTACAGTTATCTGTTAGCCAGATATGAGAAGGAAGCTCTTCTACTGCACCTTGAAATATAATGAGATTACATTTATAAAAAACCAACAATGACAAAGAATCATTTTAGCTTGTTCAATCATTGTCGATCTAAATGCAAAAGCTAGTTAGTAAGCGAGAGATACAAGATTGTCTGTTTATTGGAAAAAACAATTGGGAAAATGTGACAGTAACCTATAACGAATCATGACTGTCAGGTACCAATCGTTACAAATATTCTTCTCTCTTATCAATATCTGTAGTTGACTAATGATTAGTTTTGAAAAATGAGCTATTGACAGGCCTATACAGTAGCGTAACTGAGAGGCAGACAAATTTTGGGCCAATGAACAGACAATATTATACTTGTCGCCTACTAACTAACAAACTAGCTCTCCATTTAGATCGACAATTATTCAATGATAAATCATATAGAAGTTGTCTCAGAGTTCAGTATATTATTTTCTTTAACACTATGTCAATGAATGCTTCATGAAGCCGAGTTTTGCCGAGATGAATATCGCCTATTGGACTAAGATAATAATTGGTGGGAAGGTGTGAGACCTAGGTATTTTCAGCTACCAAACCGTGTGTATCATTTCATACCTGATTTTATTGGATAATGAATGGATAATACAAGAAGATTTGAGCTCAATAAATATAACATATTGAATCACCTAATAATATCATCAGTACTTACCTATTCTTGTAAGGACTTTACCAGGATATGGATGTCAATCAACACTATAACCATTACTATGGTGATTTCAATGTTCAAGTTTTTTTCATAATACACAAACCACAATAAAAAAGTCATAGGTGAAAAATCACAATACAGACACTATTTGAAAAAATATCACCTGCTAAAACGAATACCGTTCTTTGAAATAAATTAGATGGAATTTTTCGGCATGATTGATTGATAGAAACAACTGCCTTGAGATGAGTTGTCTTAATTTTTGATTCTACGTTACTAGTGATTGTTTGAAAAATATTCAGTTATTTTATTCCTAACGTAATCGAATTCAAAAACATCATCCGAAAATAACTATAATAACTAAGATAGGAACTCAGTTTTTTTCATTTGGCTAGTCGTGAAGAAACTATTTGTCTTTCATTTTTGTCATGTAGCCATAATATGATTATCCTTCTGGATACATGAAACTGAAATTGTTGTGAGTTATTTTCGGATGATTCTTTCAAACTCAATGAAATTATTTGAAATCTCCTGGGACCGATTAGGGTATGGAGAATATTCTGATAATATCGTCAAAGTGATGATCTTTGGAGTTCTGAGCCTATTAAGCATAGAAATATCATTGTATTCAGGCCACAACCAACATTATGTATTTCAATAAAATGCAATTCAACAACCAATTAATGATCGAATATCAAATTGTGATACATAGTTGTGAATAGAGAATTTCAAGGCGAATAAGATAGACTACAGAAATATACAGGGTGCTATTTGAAAAAAAAGTTGGGTCTACTTCCAATCAAACAGGTGGTTGGGTTCAAAGGAAGCGCCATCATCGATAATATTACCCTTGTGACTTTCATATATTTATCTCTTCAACTAAAAAAACTACAGGCTGTTACATGTCTCCTGTATCACCCGGTATATAATATGATCTCTATGATTTGTTTCATTCAGTTTTCATTCGTTACCTATTCGCTAGCTATATTCTTCACCATCACCTATGTACAGGGTGGGCAAAATTGGGCGTTTTCACCGTCTATCTCAATAACTAGAGGAGTTATCGAAAAACCGATATACATGTTCCGGATTCGATTTTGGAGAAACCTCGAATGGCACAATCAAAATTTCAATATCTGCATTCGTTTTAGAGATACAGGGGGAAATTGAAAATTTGCCGATTTCGATTTTATTTTCTGACTACTTTACGGTGGGAGGTATCAAAAAATTTCAAACGTATATTCATACCCAGCAAACATCGAAAGGCGGTAGAAAGCCGGGCCCATGGCGAGAACGGCGGGAAAATGTCGATGTCGGCATGCCTCGAAAGGCCCTCCAAATAATTTCGAAGGATTATGTGACGAAGGCAGAATGTACACATACTTATTATAGGCCTCTGTTTCCCAGTCGCTAGTTTTCCGCTGTATGTATCCATGTCAAAGGGCCATCAAAATTTCAACGGAGTGTGCCATCATCACTCACTCAACGTTGGCATCCCTCGCTCGCGTGAATTTTTATTTTGATTATTTTGCAGTGGTAACAATGATTCAGTATGGCGTATATTGATTTCTTTGTTTATGTTGTCTCAACACTCTCAAAAGAGATTTTAGTACTGTGTTCAGTTATGGTTCAGTTCGTATTTGGTTTTCTTGTGGATTTTTATACAAAATAGAAGGGAATTGAAATAAATACAGAGTGAGTGAGGAACAAACATATATACAAACTTGCACAGCTGAAAAATTCTATTTTAGATAATAATTTAACAAACACCATTGGACAAACAGATGCAATAATAGTTTGGACGTGTTCAGCGGATACACAAGAATATAATAATTGAGGACTTTGAAGATGCATGAGCTTTCATTACATATGAATCAAAACGAAAATCAAAGATAGCTACTTGAAGAAACAGTTATATTTCAATACTGTAGGTATGTATAAGGTTGCATGTTTTGGATTAGTAGAGAATGAAATCATTCAATCTTTCAGCTACAAAATCAACAACCAGAAGCCCATCAATTACAGATATTAATGAAGAAAGCACACAATGATCCAGACTATATGATATGAATTATTTCATGGTATATGATATCTCACTTCCAGGCAACACTCATATCAATATGATGAAGAGTAAGGTTCTCCATATCTGGAAATTGTTTTCTTGTAGATTGAACTTCATTGTTGACAATAACTTGATCAATATAATAACTGATTACCTACATACCTTTCAAGTTATTAGGTAGGTACATAGGTAATGTAATTTTTGACCAAGAGTTAGCAACTTTTTGAAACAATGAGGATACAGAGTGATATGTAGAACTAGAATTAAGATGTTTGATGTTTCCATAGTTGTGATATGTATTGGTTGTGATCATGGCAATAATATACACACATGGATATTTTCAGTTCTTGTTTTTGTATGGGGTATTTATACTGCTAGTTTCCTGGAAATAACTGTGATATCAGAATGCCATCTCAGAGATTTTTATGTAATTATTCAACAACTTCAGGTAAGGAGTGAATTCCACATTTCTGTTTTACCCAGAGGATTCACAAAAAACTCGGAGACCTCAATTCTGTTTTTTGAAGTTCCACAGTTTTTAACCAGTTTGAAAATAAAGAGAGAGTGATGCAAATCTGAGTGAAAATGAGATACGTTGCTTTCCAAGTGGTGATATATAAACTGGAATACCTTTCAAAAAACCTATTTTCACTGAGATATGTGCATTACCCTATATAATCTTTGACAAACCTAGTTGAAAAATGGGACATCAAAAAACAGAATACTATGAATATTGAATTCATTCAACCCCGTTAACCAACGGCCCTGAAAGACTCCTCTATCGGGGGAATGAAAATACTCAAGCGGCCAATTAATGGCAGTCTCTGAAAAGTCTCAATCGGGCCGAAGATATGCCATGAATGCAGTACATTTGAGTACTTGCTTCTGCCCACCAGAAGCCCTGCAACGTAATAAGCGGCATACTGATGGCTCTAGTGAGGCGGTCGGCTGTCGGCCGCCGGGACACGGGCTAGCCGGCCCAATTTAGTTGTACAATAGAGGACCGCTGTTACCGCTCGCCGGCAAGTTTCATTGTACCTTTAGAGGGCCGCAAAAATCATGTTTGCTGGGTACAGTATGATGCGTGGAATCCATTGGCATCATCAGAAATTTTATACAGGGTGACGTTGAGAAGATACGGCAGCCAATTATGTTTTTTCTAATGGAACACCCCGTATATTTTGGCACAGTTGAATAGTCCTAGGCGTTCTCATCACAAATATATATATAACCCTACCTGTTCCTTCCACAATATCAGATATATTCGCAAAAATATATTCAGTGTGTCACATTTCTTATGGTTACACCCCCGTTTCTTCTGTAAAAATGATTGAGGTAGGATTCAAAAATTCGCAACTGTCAGAAAGATACAAATGATACACTCATGGAGTCATGAACCAAGTGGGATCATCTCCAATGATAACACTGCTCGCCAGCAGCTATGGAATCATCGATATTTCTGGATAATGCTATCAACAGACAGAATCGAGGTTGAAAATGACACTCTGTATATATTCACCAAAGGTGGAGAATGAATATGATACTTTACCCATTATTACTAGTATGCCATAAAATTTTTGCGTTCAAAGAGATAATAAATAAGATATATATTTGAAATTGAAACGGGAACTTTCCAGCTCTGCCAAAATATACAGGGTGTTCCATAAAAAAAAATTGTTCTGTATCTGGAATTTGGACATCTTCTATAAGGCTATATTTTTCAACGCAACCTACTGATTTCCTAATTGAGTAAATTATTGGTCTTATTACTGTATCTTGATAACAATGATATCAAATCGAATAATTTCCCATTTTATTTCTCACCAAATATCCATTTGTCTGGAAATAACATTCCCTATGATACTCATTTTCCACCTTTGGTGAATATTTACAGAGTGTCATTTTCAACCTCGATTCGGCCTGTTGATAGCATTATCCAGAAATATCGATGATTCCATAGCTGCTGGCGAGCAGTGTTATCATTGGAGATGATCCCACTTGGTCCATGACTCCATGAGTGTATCATTTGTATCTTTCTGACAGTTGCGAATTTTTGAATCCTACCTCAATCATTTTTACAGAAGAAACGGGGGTGTAACCATAAGAAATGTGACACACTGAATATATCTGATATTGTGGAAGGAACAGGTAGGGTTATATATATATTTGTGATGAGAACGCCTAGGACTATTCAACTGTGCCAAAATATACGGGGTGTTCCATTAGAAAAAACATAATTGGCTGCCGTATCTTCTCAACGTCACCCTGTATAAAATTTCTGATGATGCCAATGGATTCCACGCATCATACTGTATAAATATACGTTGGAAATTTCTTGATACCTCCCACCGTAAAGTAGTCAGAACATAAAATCGAAATCGACAAATTTTCAATTTCCCCCTGTATCTCTAAAACGAATGAAGATATCGAAATTTTGATTGTGCCATTCGAGGTTTCTCCAAAATCGAACCCGGAACATGTATATCGGTTTTTCGATAACTCCTCTAGTTATTGAGATAGACGGTGAAAACGCCCAATTTTGCCCACCCTGTACGTGACAGATTGCCGCCCCGAAAATTAGAAATTGCTTTATTTTCTACTTGGACTTTATCAATTGACATTCTGTATAGCGTGGACATAAAACTGGAGAGTTCCGGAGTTATTTTATGAAAATTCGTCTGAAAGAAACTTCCCCCATCATCTGGATGGACTCACCTGAAATAAAGTAAAATCGACCTCCGTCGGCTCTAAAATAGTGAGATATATACAGGATAAATGCTGTTGACTAGCTAATGGTGGCAGTATTCCGGTCAGCCGGACTTCGCACCAGCCGCTCCTCGCCTTGCAAATGTCTATGCAGTCGAAGTATTTGAGCACGTCCGGGAACGATATCCAGAAAGTGCCGTCCTGCGATCCGCCTGGCAGTAGGTCTTGGCGCAGCTCGATCGGCCAGAGGGGCGAATCGTCCGACCAATCGCCCTTCCACACGAAATGCCCTGAAATATTTTATTATATACAGTCTGTATAATATTTCTTTGCGTGTGACTGAAATTAGCATAGACCTACGCGCAACTTGCTATCCTCTTCAGACCTGCATAGAGCAGCGAAGTCTATCATGACGTTTGTTGACATAAGTTACGACATTGTTTCTGAACTCAACGGGTTAAAAGCTTGAATACAGAGGTGTTCGTATGTCGAGACACATTTGAATCGGCTAATTCAGAGGCGTGCAGTAGGTGCTGATATGACATCGTTTTGCGTGGCCATTGTCAAATATTCAACATAAGAGAGAAAGATTATAATGGTCCTTCAACATCCCGTTTACTTCCATACAACAGGTAAATCATGATTCTTCCTGATCAATAATAAAAATAGTCGGGCCTTACTTCAAGAATATCATCATGATGTACATAATTTTAGCGCTGATGCCCTCAATATTAATCTGCGGACAGTTTCGAGTATTAAAGAACGTTCTGAGAAATGAAAGTTTGAGTACGCCAGGGAAATCTAGGACTAAAAAAAACCCAAGACAGTAGGTCTGGATGATAATTTGAAAATGGAAGTACGCAATGTTATCTATACTATGTATGCAGAAAGTAAGTGATTTCATTTGATACTTATAGACAACCTTCAACTGACTATTCAACAGAAAAACACATCACCTAGAATTTTGAAAGAAGGACTCAGAACTAAACATATTCTTGATGCAAGTATAGGCAAATTGAGCAAACTTCCCACAAATGTAGGATTCAAACATAAAAAAGAAGACAACAGACGGTTATTGGTTGAGAAGACGGACATATCTATAATGAGAGCAGAGTTTTTCAGAAAGTTTTATGAAAATTGCAATTCTAGTTACCCTAGACAAATCTTCTTCTTAGACGAAACTTGGATATTTGGATGTTTGCGAAAGGGAATAAGATCAAAGTACAAAAAGCGTTCGTAAACCAGAAGGTTATGATGGGAAATGATTTTTTGTACTTCATGCTGGCCATAGTGGTGAAGAATATATATTTCTGTCTGATTTACTCAAAATTACAATATTTAATATCAATTTGGGAAAGCACAAGTATATCACATTTGAAACCATTAATGAAATTACAAAATAAAACAATTAAGTGCATTTACAATTTACATTACCTGGAACCAACTATTAATCTTTACAAACCAAAAAATCTGTTGAATTTATCATCTTTATATAAAATGAAAATTTGTTCTTTCATCCATTTTGTGAGAAAAAAAATAAAAATATCCAACTTGAACTTTACTGAAGTAAATACAATTCATACTCATGCAACGAGACAGTTGAATTCATTAATAGCAAACCCATATAACTCCATCATTGGCAAACAATCAGTATTCTACAACGGAATCATTTTATATAATTCATTACCTTATGATTTGAAACATATTGATGATGAAACAAGATTCAAAGTCAATATGAAAAAATATATACTCATGACACAATAAACGGAGCAATTTATTCTCATTTGAATACTTGGAATGGTTTTATTTTAATTATTATGTTATATTGACATAACTTGTTAATTAGTTTTTTTTTTTATTGTTTTATATATATATATATATCATATGTTTATGTATCCCTATTATAAACAAATATGTTTCTTGGGGTAATAAAGAACAACAACAACAACAACAAATGCTGGATAGTGATGTACCAAATACCGGAAACGACTCAACAGTGTTCGGCTTTGTCACGATCACAGAATATCTCACAAAAGCATTAAATAGGTGTGTATCAGGTCATATACCAACCCATCCGTATATACATGCCCAAAGTTCTGATACATGTTTTTGCTTTCAATAAATTGACGCATTAAAGAGATGAAACTTATATATACCAATCCTATGTTTTATTGAATGTTTCTTAGTCAAAATTACCAGGAGTAGTGAATAAAAATTTTCAGAATATTATTAATTATTTTAACCCATTTTCTGAAACAGCACGGCATTGCTTCACTGGAACATATGACCTTGAATTGATTCGTTCCGTTTCATGAAGTTGTGACGTACGCGCAAAGAAATATTATACAGACTGTATCGTGTGCTTAATGGAGGTCATTTTGAACTATACATTGAATGACTCTTCAATTTTGTGTCAGCAGTAGATAATTTTATTTTTGGTTAGTTGATCGACACAACAGGAAACAGGGATGTGGATATCAATAAGTAAATCAAAAGCTTTCAATTGATGGGCAATTGTGGTTGGAAAATAAAAAGGGGAATAGGTCGCGTGCACGATGACCGACCCTGGAGGTAAAATATCGAAACAAAACCTCACTTTTTTATTTGTTTACAGAGAAATCAAAGGATTGATATAGTTTTTCAAAATATTTTGGCATACAAATCGTGTTTGTGCGCTATTCATCAATTCAAGCATGCCTTCTCATTGTGCTTTTGTACAATGCACAAGAAGTTCAGCAAGAGGAATGAATATGATTTTTCAGGTAAATAGTAATCTGACATAAGTTTTCATTATGAAATGTTGTCATTACTCATTAAAAGTCCTTGTGCCACTTCTGCAATAGAAACTAATACTGCTACAACACACACGATCATATCTCGTCATTATGTCAGACCAGTCCTCCCGTTTGATTGCATGAATCCAATCTTCTTGCATTATTTTAGAAATTTCACGAGTATTTCTATCAGTTCCTATTGCAGAAGGAATTCTGATGAGAAATCAGAGAAATTACCAAATGAAAACTATATATGAGTGATTGTAGTAGGTACTTACTTTTAAATCATAATGTACCAACCAGATTCCTTCGTCTCCTGCTGCATTTTTTGTGCATTGTACAACAGCACAATGTGATGGCATGCGCGATTTGATGAAAAGCCGAAAAACACGATTCGTATACCAAAATAATTGTGAAAAACTATTTCAATCACTTCAAAACAAATAAGAAAAGTGAGGTTGTGTTTCAATGTTTCACCTCCAGGGTCGGTCACTGACAGTTCTTGCACGCAACCCATGTGATTGTTTTGAATTATTGTCAAGTATTGATTTGATTCAATAACACTGTCAAATATCATCCGATTTCGAAAAACGGTACAGGAGAGTATTCGTAATGGGAAGGGCTTTATGAATGATTTATTGGAAGTAGAGCGTAGTGTCATTTGATATTTCAAAGTTGGGGTTGCTAGTGGTTAGTGGGAAAAACATATCAAGTTGGACGTGTGAAGAAGTTCATATTGCTCAGAGTGGTAGTGTTTGAAGGAAGAGTAAATCTCAAAATCATTTCCACGACATTTAATAGTTGAACATAGTCGAGCCAAGATTTATTACGTCCTACAATAGTTTAAATTAGTAACAGGAATACGGTAATAGATAATATTACTTACATGAAGATGAAAAAATGTTCTCCAAAGTTGTGAAATCTTATTAAATGAAATAGTAAACATGATAAATTATTATTGAAATATAGTATTTTTATTTCAAGAGGGGCCTATACCCTCTAAGATACCCTCAGGAGGTTTTCATGAGGTAAGAAACTAAAAAATTACATAATTCAGGAAAACCCACATGAGTAGGACTTGAGTGCACTCGAGGTTAGCTGTTACAGAAAAATCACAAGATCAAACGTCAAACTTCCGGATGACAAGATGTCAACAAGACAGATGACAGGTGAATTGGTGCAATTGAAATATTTTTTTTATTTTTCAAACAGACATGGAAAGAGATCAAAACTCAGAAGATTCGGTTATCTAGTTATAAGGGGGGGTCAAGTTTTCGTTGAAAGACCTTGTATACTACTACTAAATATATTTATATGATCATAAGACGACAACATAAGCATGTAACTCTGGTTTGTCTTATTTGTTGAGTGAAGAAGAGTTTATATCTCGATAACTTCCCAAATTAGTGTTGCACTTGGATAATTCATTCAGAATTCAAGATTATTCATATTCAGGTTTGTATTTGGTTGTGGTTGTGCAATTGATCAGGTCCTGGTCATGTATATTGTAGGATACGACTCTGTATTATCCATATCAGTATATCTTTTATTTTGAATAAGTTATGTTGCTATAGTAAGATGTAGACATTATTAATAAAAAATAATAAATCTTCGAGTTGAGGAATATAATTTATATTGAAGAATTTTTTTTTATCGATTGGAGCGCGAAGATTTTGAAAGTGCTCAAACTCCAAATATCAGGAATCTTGAACATCAAAATGACCTCCAACATGACACTGATAACTATATCAGAATTGATAAAAACGACTCGAATATGATGATGGAGAAATGGCTCAACAAGACCACGGCAGGTAGAAATCAAATGAAGATAACTCCCTTCACCGGCATAAATGAAGACCCGTATTCATGGATCAATTCATATGAGTTTGCTGCATGATTTAATAAATGGGAGTCAAATGCGGACAAGATATTCAATTTAGGATCGCATTTAAACGGAATCGCATTGAAATGGTATGAAGATAGATTCAAAACGAATTTGAATAATATGAATTGGCAAGAGTGGAAAAATAGTTTTATATCAACTTTTGATGAAGAAACTGTATCTAAATGGGAACAAGCTTTGAATTTCCAATTCAAATATGGATCAATCATTGAATATTATTTTGAAAAACAAAGATTATTATCTTGGGCTGATTCGAAAATGGCAGAGGAATCCACATTGGCTTTAATAGTTCTTGGCTTGCCATATCATATCCAAAGGCAAATTTCGAATAAGGACATGAAAAATAAAGTCGACTCATTGAATGCTTTGAAATGTGTGAAAGCAAGAGTTCAAAGTTTAGACGTTCAATCAGGAAGAAGACAAAATGAATTTCAAAGGAGAGACAGGAGTCGTGATAATCAGAATGGATCCATATCAGTTTATCTTTTATTTTGAATGAGTGATGTTGCTATAGTAAGATGAAAACATTATTAATAAAAAATAATAAATCTTCGAGTTGAGGAATATAATTTATATTGAAGATTCATCAAAGTATTTGATGATATCCATTATAATTCATATTCAGATTTGTATTTGGTTGTGCAATTGATCAGGTCCTGATCATGTATGTCAATGTTATTTAGGTTTGCCTCATGACATTATTATTACCTTTTCACCTGTGGAGAGTTTTTTGACATGAAAGTGCTAACTTTATTTATTGCCTTACTCATAGCAAACTGACTAATCCAATATTTCGTTCTTCGCCAATATTAGTTAGCTAAAGAAAATATGACTTGAATGACTTGAATTAACAACAAAATCTTGTAAGTTGTAATTCTAATATGTTGAAATTGTATCAGAATTTCTAGGAAGGGTTATCAAATAGGTAGTTACACAAAACTATGAATGAATTTTCTAACACATGTAAGATATGAATCGTCTAGATTCAAAACCCGACAAATCACGCGACTGGTGAAGAAGTGTGAACATCGACGTGTAGTTTACAGCGTTGCCATTTTTTAAAGCCATCTCTCTCTAACTTACTCGAAACTTTGGAAGTATATATCATTGTGAAAAAATAGTATTTTATGAATGTAGTGTTATGTCTCCCCTCTTTTTATATGTTTATGCTCACAACTTACCCCAAGGATTCCTGAGTTTGAGTAATCTATGGCCATTAACATCCCGTACATCTAAGAGGGAATAAGCGTGTCTTGGTCTCAATCCTTTACAATGGTACTCATTCTCATCTACTTTCATGTTGCCACCACCACATGAAGCTCCCATCAGAAACATGGCTTGGCGAGATGATAATAGCCTGAAAAACAATAATGCGATTGAAGCTTATTCTGGTGAGCCTTAGTTATTTTCCAATATTGAGGATATGCAATTATTGGTCCTTGACATATTTCAACATTGACCAATTGTCAAATGCTGGTGCCATTATTGAATAATTCACTTTTCAGTATCAGTTTCCTATGTGTCAATAGTGAGAAGTGATATTTTCTGATGAATGCCCTATAGTTTCATTATAATTATTAACGGACTGTGGAATCTTGACTGTTTTTGATAGATATTGACAGCATTCAAATGTGAGAAACCTGAACAGTGTTTCTCAACTACCAGATAACCTAGTTGCATAAGAATGAGAAAAGAACAAATAAAGCACAGCTGAAGATGTATGCATATGTATGCAGATGTATATGTATTGGTTTGATAGAACAAAGTTCTATCTGGGTGTAGATAGGACCATGATGAACCAAATTATGTAGTTAGGATGTTGTTACATACAATTAAGAGAGGAACATTCTGTAGATAGAACTCTGCATTATGACTAACTCATTTAAATTCCAACAGTTTGCGATAGTTGACCTCTCAAAATGAAGAATTCATCAGATAGAACCCTAGTATACCAAAATATTTGGTAAAAAATGCAGATAGAACTTTACTACTAGGGCGAGGAAATCTGACTCGTGTTGTATAGCCTCTGATTTTCGGAAGGTAGGTAGCTGGATAATAGCCCTGAGATATCAATAACACAGTTTTCAGACACCGCTATCGTAGCGCGTACCCAGGAGAACAATAAAAAAAATGAGACAAGAATACAAAATTAGAGCAGCCCGTCTGAAAATCATTTTTATAGGTAAAGTCGGGTCAATTGATGCGGAGAGAATGGGAAGTGTAAAATTCTATTCCTAAAGAGGCGCTGATATCGTCATTTTCTAAAACTAAAATAAGAGGACGCTAAAAAGCTCTGGTGTTCGTGGGTTGATGATAATATTTTTGCCATATTTCTAATGGCCATCGGACCAAATATTAACAATCAATCAATTGGATGTTGCCAAATTGTCAAATTCTCTATATATGTATATCGAACTATACGACGTATGGAAATTCTTGAGGAGGCTCAGAGCCTCCGTCGCCTCCTCTGAGAAGCCCCAACTGCTCTAACTAGATCCACTCACTGAGCCCAGATGAGGTCGACGTCGAGCTCCTCCTCGGCAGGCGCCGGTGCCGACGACGGCTGCAGCGGGATGCTCTCGCACGGCGCCCCCGTCAGCGTGGCCAGGCCTTCGATGGCGCGGCCCGACACCAGCGCCTCGTAGCAGCCGTGGATCTTCGCCACGGCCTTCTCGATCAGCGGCACCCACAGCTGTTTCCGTTTCGCCTGGAAATGTTAAAGACAACGCTAGAGCCCGTGAAACTTTTATACAGGGTGTTGCGAAATTCGACCGACAACGCTTTTTTTTTATCGATTGGAGCGCACGAAAGGGAATCCCTATAATGTTCAAAGAACATCGTGCGTTCCTAGGGAGGATAGGGACAGGAGGTAGGTATTGGATTTTTTTTTGAATTTTTGGAGATTATATGTTGTTGGTGATAGCCTTCGTGATTTCATAATTATTACTGAGATAGGGACATACGGTCTTCAAGTGTTCAGTTCTCGATATACAGGGCGTTGAAGTTAAAAAATTTGAATTGATTTTTCGCAATATCTCAAGAAAAATTGACTATAATACATTCAAATTTGGTATATGGTTCCATCTTTCAATGGTTAATTTTTTTAACAGGAAGACATTCCGAGCATTTTAACCAGAGGTGCGCTACAGCGGGTTGTGATAACTTCTCCTCCCATATTTTCTACGCCACTGATGAAATTTCGATTATTTCCAATTTCTCGAATTGAATGTTCATGTTGAAAAACTGCATCATCTTCAACTGAGCAAAAATGAACAGTTATCGAGATTTTTGATCCAAAATAGAAGTTCCAATTATGAAATGTCAGTAGATAGTAAATCAAAAGTTTAGATAGGGACATGAAAGTCATTTTGACACAAAAAAAATCCTGAATTATAAAAATCTCGATTTTGAACACCCTATATATCTCTGTAATCGTTCCCGCTAGACCCCAAGTGTGATACATTGATGGAATCAGCTCTTCAGGAAGAATCCAAAAATGCAATGAAATACAGGGTGTTCCGTTAGAAATAACAGTATTGTTAGTTGTTCCTGATAAAAGTGTCAACACTGTATCGATGAAAATATTTTAGACGGATAGAGAATGTTCAATTATCAAAGCATCCCAATTTTCAGAATGTTCTGTCTTTCCGTTCTCCAGATACTTCTGATAGGCCATTCAACGTGGATCACCCTGTATTCCATGTTCCATCCCACCTCCCGGTAAACTTCAGATATCATTATTATTATTAGTCATAGATGAATACTTGTTCGAGAATTGAATTGATAAGATAGAAAGGTGACGCAACTAATTTGTCATTCGGGACGAGGTGATGAATCATTCATGAATAGTGTCAGTCTTGTGTTGGATGTTATCGTGTAAGGTCGGTCTTCTAAAGTGCTCGTATCAGTTTCAAGCAAGAATCTAGTGCATATCGCGAAGAGTATACAGGGTTTTTCACGATGAGCGTTAATTAGAAGTTTTTGGGAAACCAAGCAACTGATGAATCTGAAAATCTTATGGTATGTATAAATTGACATAATCTACACGGATATAATATATTGAACAATGCGGCGTTGCCGATTTTAGTAGAAAATAGCAACTATGATTTTTCAAATGAAACATCATTTATTTCATTGCATTTTCTAATTCTCTCTGGAGTGCTCATTTCATTAATGTATCACACCGAACTTGTGGTCTAGCAGGTACGATTACAGAGATAAAGTCAATTTAAATAATATAATGAACAAGTTATGTCAATATAACATAATAATTAAAATAAAATCATTCCAAGTATTCAAATGAGAATAAATTGATCCGTTTACTTTCTCATATTGACTTTGAATCTTGTTTCATCAATATGTTTCGAATCACAAGGTAATGAATTATATAAAATGATTACGTTGTAGAATACTGATTGTTTGCCGATAATGGAATTATATGGGTTTGCTATTAATGAATTCAACTGACTCGTTTCATGAGTATGAATTGTATTTACTTCAGTAAAGTTCAAGTTGGATATTTTTATTTTTTTCTCACAAAATGAATAAAAGAACAAATTTTCATTTTATATGATGATGATAAATTCAACAGATTTTTTGGTTTGTAAAGATTAATAGTTGGTTCCAGCTAATGTAAATTGTAAATGCACTTAATTGTTTTATTTTGTAATTTCATTAATGGTTTCAAATGTGATATACTTGTGCTTCCCCAAATTGATATTAAATATTGTAATTTTGAGTAAATCAGACAGAAATATATATTCTTTAAATATCTAAGAGGAATCAATCAATCAATCAATCAACTTTATTATTCCCAAGAAACAACATTTGGGTGTTCCATTTAAAAAAAATCAAATAGTACCCTGTAGATCGTTTGTACCGAGCACCTTGTATTTTCTGATGTAGCGGAAAAAGCTCTATCGAAAATCATTTAAGATGATATTTAAAATTTTGCAATCGGTTCAAAAATAACTGAGCTAGAGATGGGGGACATTTATGTCGAATCACCCTGTACTCCAAGGGAAAAAACTGAATCTAGCAATCCATAGTGAGAATCAGTTTTCTCACAAGAACGATCAAGTACATATTATAGAGTGATTTCGCGTAGTACTGAATTAATTCATTTTCAGCCAATTTATCCAATCTCGAGGAATCTTTTGACAGGTCAGTTTTTATTTTGTCTGTATATAGTGTGCCGTACTTTTAATAGAAGCACCCCTCTACCTTACGTTATTGTTGAGTTAGGATTGAGAAATTTGCAGGAGCGAGACATAAAGCAAAAATACAGTCTATCGCCAAGTCAGGTCATCCTCAGTGATTATACACTGCTCGCCAACAGCCATCAATTCACCCACAAGAATGGCTGAAAATAACTTCGGATTCGAAATCTGGACGTCCAATTCACTGACTATTCATATCTTTCCTGGAAAAAATTCGGTTCTGAAAAATTTAATGTCGTCTCTCTTTACATGGAAGCATCCCCGTATCTCACGTAATTATTGAGGTAAGATTCTGAGGTGAACCTCCGCGTATTCTTCAGATATCATTATTATTATTAGTCATTCGGGACGAGGACGAGGTGGGAAATCGTGTCAGTCTTGCGTTAGATGTCATCGCGTACGGTCTATGTCTTCTTTGAAAAATTTAAATTATCATGAGTAATATATTGCGCAATTAGAGAAGCATAACACTGATCTTAGGCTCTTTCAGGATATTCCAGAAGCAATAAAAACTATGGCAGATATCTCATCATTTGAGGTCCTGTACTCACAAGATCTCTGTATTCGTTTATTACACATCACTTAGGGGCCCAACATCTATCTGTCAGACAGAAAAACGGAATATGGAGATTTCCAAGATAAGTTTTCATGAACATACACTTCAAATACTGGTCGTATTTCTATTCTTCTCCGAACATTCCTTCATAAAAACGAATTATCGATCATTCAATGAAACAGTCGGAAAATAAGTCAGCATTGTGAGTGTTTGGAATCACGTCCGGTACCCTAACGAGGGGAGTGTATCAACTTTGACGTTCGTAATGCCTCTCTACAAAGAAGGGTTCCGCCTTCAAGAGTTAGGTATAAACAGTGGTTTTATACCAGTTCTTTTTCAAATTATTTGTGCACTTTAGGAAATCAACTGTAATTGTTTCAATGAAGCTGTGATCTTCGAACGTCAGACCCATGTTTTCTTTCATAGATGTGAATTATAATGAATAATATATTTCGCAATCAGAGAAGCATAATACTAATCCAAGTTGTTTTTTTTTTCAGGATATTCCAGGAGCAATTTAAAGCATGGCAGATTTCGAAGATAAGTTCTGATGAACATTAAATGCAAATACAGATAGTATTTTTTTCATTCTTCTCCGAGCATTTCTTCATAAAAAACGACTTTTATCGATCATTCAATCGAACAGTCGATAAATTAGTCGACATAGTGAATGTATGGAATCACGTCAGGTACCCTTACGAGGGGAGTGTATCAACTTTGGCGGTCGTAATGCCTCTCTACAAAGGAGGGGGGTCGCCTTTAAGAGTTAGGTATAAACAGTGGTTTAATACCAGTTTTTTCCAAATTATTTGTGCACTTTAGGAAAGCAACAGTCGTTATTTCAATGAAGCTGTGCTCTATGAAGAAGACCCACGTTTTCTCTAAAAAATGTATATTATAATGAAAGATATATTGCGCAATTAGAGAACCATAATACTAATCTGAGGTTTTTTCAGGATATTCCAGAAGCAATGTAAACTATGGCAGATATTCATGCATTTCAGAACCAGTACCAACTCACAATAACTCTGTATTCGTTTGTGACAGATCACTTAGGAGCTCAACATCTGTCAGAAAGATTAACGGAATATGGAAATTTCCAAGATAAGTAGTCATGTCCATTATTAAATTCAAATACAGATCATATTTCTATTCTTGTTGCTCATAAATATCAACTTCACTTAGAATACCTTTCAATTTTTCATCGATATCATGGATTTTTGTTTATAAATACTGAAGTTGACTATAATAATACTGATCCAATTTTTTTCCCGGATATTCTAGAAGCAATGTAAACTATGGCAGATATCTCATCATTTGAGATCCTGTACTCACAAGAACTCTATAATCGTTTAGGACAATTCACTTAGGAGCTCTACATCTGTCAGACAGATTAATGGAATATGGAGATGTCCAAGATAAGATTTCATGAACATTAAATTCGAATACAGATCGTATTTATATTCTTCTTCGAACATTTCTTCATAAAGAACGACTTTTTTCGATCATTCAATCAAACAGTGGAAAAGTTAGTCGACATTGTGAGTGTATGGAATCACGTCCGATACCCTTACGAGGGGAGTGAATCAACTTTGGCGTTTGTAATGCCTCTATACGAAGGAGGGTGTCGCCTTCAAGAGTTACGTATAAACAGTGGTTTTATACCAGTTTTTTCCAAATTATCTGTGCACTTTAGGAAAGCAACAGTCGTTATTTCAATGAAGCTGTGCTCTATGATGTAGATCCATGTTTTCTTTCATAAATGTGAATATAAATGAATAATATATTGCGCAATTAGAGAAGCATAATACTAATCTGAGATTTTTTTCAGGATATTCCAGAAGCAATGTGAACTGTGACAGATATCCCAGCATTTCAGAACCAGTACTCACGAGAACTCAATATTCGTTTGTGACACATCACTTAGAGTTCAGCCCAATGGATTTCATTTGTCAAATGACCTTTTGCGATTTTTTTGGGTATGTATGAACTCCAGTGCTATTTCCATACTAACCTGGGAGTAAAATAAGTGGCCTCTTTTGTCGCACGGGAAGTAATCGTCCACAAGAACAGTCGTCCAGTGTCCGTCTTTGCATAACCTCACTTGATACACTCCTTGCGGGCAATAATCCCCGGTTATCAGCACCGCCCTGACCAAATCTTCTCGCTCGGCTAATACGGCCAAAGCACTGAGTAGCCAGCAGTTCCCCAAAACGCCTATTCAAAAACGTCAAAGTTCGAAAAAAAATTATAAACAAGGTGTTCCAAAGGTCGATGCAGTCTTACGGAAATGAAAGGGAGCTCATTCAGGATGCTCTTGTTTTTAGAATAATACTAATATTGTCATCACATAGAGAATACGTACTCTCAATGCATTTTTTTTATATAGGGTGTAGTTTAATTGGTGGCTAAAAATGGAGGATATGGTTCCTTGGCTTATTCTAGAAAGAAAAGGTCATATGGACATATGCCCTAAGCCTCCTAACTGTCGAGCAATAGGGTGTTAGCATTTTAAGAAAATAATAGTTTTCTTATCATCACTTCAATACTATTTTAGATATTTTCATGAAATTTCACAAGCACCTACTTAGCACTCATCGGCATTTTTTGATGCAGACGATTTCTCAATATTCTCACCAGTGGCGCCCGTATGCGATGTATACTGAAGATTTTTCCAAAAATGAAAATCATTTTTGAAATCCTCATTCAATTCATTTAGGATGATTTGAACTGAAAATACCTTCGTACAAAGTCTCCCGGTTTTCGAATTTGATGTGTCTCTTTTTTTTTGGAAAAATTCTCTTTTTTCATCTTTGCACCTTATTAACTCAAGAATGAAACATTATGCCTTGTTAATATTTCTAATACTTGAGTAAATACCTGTTCTGAGAATCAACATAAAAAACAGCCAAAGCGACATCAACAATCAATATACATCAAATATCATGATTTATTTATTTACTTATTCATTAATTTTTCATTTATAAACGGACAAACCCCGCTTTGAGGATGACTGTTTCACGAAGTTATTAAATGTACCAATCAGGTTATCTAGTCAACTTTGGATTATCGATAATACCAAATTTGACTCTTGACCCTGATTGGCATGTCAAGTTCGGTATATTCCGATATGTATATGTGACAGTTCAACGTCAAATACACGTAATAATGCTATGCTGTGGATATCCTTAAGACTCTGCATGATCTTTGGAATACCCTGTATGAGCATGAGTTGTCAAAAAAAATTTAAAAGTATTCACTAAAGGTCGATTAATTGTAGACATGTTTCAGAGGGTTGCTTGTAAGGGGGCAACCTAATGAGGTTTTGTTTTCAACACGGCTAAGCAGTGAATTTATCAAATTATTTTTTTTTTCGATATCATAAATTCAATTTACTAAATAAACTTATAGAAATCTGAATATTTACGAATATTTTGAACATCTTTGTAGGCATCCCCGATATGAACATTGATTGAAATAAAATGTGTATTTACTGCCAAATTTTGGCACATATACACATGTATTAAATAAAAAAATAACACTTCTGTTCGGTTTCATAATAAACAATTGCTAAAAATTGTTACTCTTCAAATAACAGTAATATAACCAATCTCAATCTATTTAGAGATCAAGTACAACAAATTGAACAATGGAATAAAAAACACGACCAGTTTGAAACAGTTTGTGTCAGCTATCAGATCGATATTGCTAGCAAATGCCTTTTATTCCGTTGAAGAGTACCTTCAGTACTCTTTTCAGGATCCGTAAATGATTCGTGTGAATGGTGATGAGCGCATGTAAGTATGAACATATGAGGATGAATGATTGGTCATTATATTAAGTGATGATGAAAATTGTTAAAAACTTTTATGACTTGTCCTATATCATAAATCTTCTTGGATAAATAAAGGTATTCTATTCTATTCTATCCCCAAATTCAGGGGTTGGTCATTCACAAATTTTTATATTTTTCCTGACAATTATTTATGGCTGAATTAATGTTGTTAATATTTCAAACATTAAACTACTCACTGATCATCAACTTACATGGACGCTTGGTATCATCTTCAATGACAAACCACACAAATAATAAACATGCAATATTTCACTATGTACGTATCGAACCTTGTGAAATATCAGAGGGCTGCGGTTTTCTGAACACAGCCCAGACCAAGTCTTTATCCTCCTCAACCACGATATCGCGCAGCCTCTTCCACTTGACCACGTGACAATCCTTCATTTCCGACGGATTGTAATAAAGGCTGCTCGGCATCGGTGGAAAATCTTCGTCTAGATAGCTCTGCTTTTTCAATTTACAGTATTTTACAATATAATTCCAGTGTTTGTTACTCATTTCGTGTTGAGTCAGTCGAGGTGGATCTTTCGGGTGCAAAGAATTGACGTCTTCTCGCATTCTTTGACACATATCACAGATAATTTGGGATTTGGTATTTTCGAACGTGCACACCAAACACTGCCAAGGTTGGTAAGGCCCTGTGGTGATTGAATCTGCGGAGATATACCTCATAAGTCTGACGAGATTATCGAAATAAGCTACTATCTAGACCGCTAATATTATATCTCAACAACGTAATTGACGTATTTGTCATCTTAACAGGGTACGGACAGATCCTCGTCTCCTCTCACTCTAAAGTGTTTGTGAAACAGTTATACATATAGTTGCATCTTCATTCATTTCTGGGGATAAACACTAGATTTCTGCCATTTGTTGTTTTTTAGGTTATATTGAGGAAATTGGCGTATCATACGTAATTCCCACATGTAATTCCTCATTCACCTCTTTATATTATATCCAAGTGATGATAATTTTGGAGTTTTTGATTTTTCAACTCCAGCATAATCTTTGTGAGGCAGTGAGCAAATTTTTCTGGGAGTTCAATACGTTTTACCAAATGGGACTGTTCTTAGGCAGAACCTATGAATAAATGAATTTTGATTTCAGACTAAGCCTTATGGTTGGGAAATGGTGAAAAATTTTATGTAGGTATTTAAACTACCACGAACACTTAATATTTCCTGAATGTAGGTATAATTTTTTAAATGGAGTGGATAATTATAGGTAGAATGAGAAAGTAAAATATGTGATTTTGTATTAGTTTTACCTCGAATATTTTACTGATGTATTTACCAATTTTCCCCATTCGGTGACTTCACATTCCACGTTCTAAGTTCATTTGCATTTGCTGGAAAGCTGACAAATTCAAATTTGCCAACCAACTGATTGATAATGCCTAACGCAGCACATTTTACCATCCTTCCAAAACAGAATTGAATAATGTCGTATTAAGATCATCTCTTTTAACGCCTATGAATGAATGTGACGTGACAGCAATGTCATGTCAGGGACGCCAATACACGAAAACAAAGTCACTAGATGATTGAAAGAGAAAGGGGCTATGATCTGTCCGTACCCTGTTAAATGACAAATACGTCAGTTCTCATCCAAATTGTTCGCCTGAAAACACTTTTGCGCAAGTCGCAGAAAGATGTAAACTGTCATTCATGACATCGACTAATGTATCTTGGGCTATATTCCGAATTCAACTGACAGTAATGAATCTACTGAATTTTCATTCCAAATTCAAAATAATTCGCTGAAAGTGACAGATACTTGTGAGCAAACAACTATTCATTTCAAATATTTCAACTCAACATTCTGCTGAAATTGCTGACTATCGAAAGGTAGTGTGTGAACTGTCATTATTTTAGAGGGGGAAGGAATGTCACATTTATTTCCGTTTTCATTTAAACATAAAGCCTTGCCTCATCAATAATAATATTTAATATCAGAAAATGCCTGTTAATAAAATAATTGACGCTGAGAATAATATTCAAATTTCACCAGCTGTTCCGAATTACAGCACTGAATTTTTTATTCTCAGTAGGGTCAGTAGATTTACTGACAGTACTGACCAGTTGAATTCGGAATATAGCCTTGGTTATCGGAAACATGGGTAAGAGTGACTAACATACAGTAAGGACGTAAAAAGTCCTCTCCCCCCTTTAACTTTATTATTTATTTGAAAAAATATCATACGTGACGGCATATAATAGTTGTAATTTTTTTTTGTTCAATTAAAACATGATCAAATAAGTTAAAAACTTGTCCATGATCATGTTACAATTTACGTAATAAAAACATTTGCAACATATCTGAAATTAAATATAAAAACATGATAATATATCATGTATATTCACTACACTGTTTTACCACCATCCAAGCCGGTTAGTGGTAAAACTATGTAATATAGTATACACCGTGTCCCAGCTAAAATGTCCCCCCTGTAAAAAATCATCTGCGCGATCGCAGATCGTTTCCTTATACAGTTGATTCGTTGGAGTATCATATGTCCATGAGACCTTTCCCAGGAGTTAGGATGTTTACCTGTAATTTAAAATGTCATCGCAACGTCATCTTATGACCTTGACGACTGTGACTTGCAATAGAATTCAAAATTACATTCATAACAAATGCTCAAGAAAGCTAGAAATGTACACCGATCACTTATTGACACCAAAATATCGGCTTTTGAAATCAATCCGAACTTTATTTATTGTTTTCGAGGTACAAACGAAGCGGTTTTAGATAGAGAATGAAAAAGCCTTCAAAACAAGGTACTACATGAACCCTCTTCATATTTGAAAAAACAAGTTGATGGTGCTCACTTGACACTAGGTCACATGACCACAACCATTTTCATGCCAAAAAGAACTAAAAGCCGAATTTTAGCCGACCTCGCTAGCTTGTTTCGTTCTAAAGTTAAAGGTGGAGGACTTTTTTCGTCCTCCCTTTATATGACAAATCCTTAATGCTGTTTAGGTTTTGTTTATGCATTAGCGGCTGTTTAGGTTTTGTTTATGGTATTAACGGCTGTTTAGGTTTTGTTTATGGCATTAGCGGTCTAGATAGTGGTTGACTGGATTGATAGATATTTACAAGATGACCCGAATTGAACACTTTAGAAGGGATAGGGTATTTTTAGACAAGGTAGACAAAGACAATGGTAGGATACCACAGACTAGAGTCACTGGATGGTTTCAGTAGATGAAAGTTCGGACCCAGCAGAACTTCTGTCCTACCCGATTTACTGAATTACAATGCTTGAGTGAATAAAAGAATAAGACATATATTCTGCTCTTTGTCTTTTCAATTTCCCTAGTAGCGCCTGATGGTCAGATACGATTTTAGAGGTTAAATTTTCTGTCAAATCAATCATATCCCTAGATGGAAAATAGAAAGAGGGTATTAACACCCACTTCAATATCTAATGATATGCAACTTTTTGTAGAACAACAGTTATCAAAATGAGAAGAATGCATGTTACAACATTTTAATATATGACAAAATAGACACATGTATATATATAGCTAGTTCGGTCGGTATTGAAAACGCCATGCAATGATATACAGAGAGTCCAAGATAAGGATGTCTATCATATACTATATAGTGTACTATAGTTGATTAAAGGTCATACGAAAAATGTCTCAACGCTATTATGTAAGGCTTCAAAAATGGGAATGAAAAAGTGTCTTCTGTTTTCCTATATATCTTCAATTAACGTCAGAAAAAATAAAAACGATTCCCATGAGAGACATCCTTATCTTGGACACAGTGTATAGTGTATATCACGTTGCAATTTACTTGATCTCCTCAGTTTTGTTCTAAAATATAGTTTCATTCTAATCTGCTATTATAGGAAGTGAATTTTAAGGTATGTACCTCACAAATTCTGCTTGCCTTGAAATTAATTCTCCATCCAGGCCGTTTTATACATTCCTTCCATATGAGAATGGTTGATATTTCCTTTGGAAAATTAAATAAATGGAATCCATTCTCTTCAGAATTCCCACAATTCATTACACAGCAGGACATTTTCGTTTATGCTTTCTTCTCAATACATAGTATGAAATTATATTTCAGTTCTGACGTTCATGTGATGTATAGTCAAATTCAGACAATTTTGAATGAAAAAGCGCGGGACGATTATGGTGCTCTTGTCACAATGCAAGGTGTGTAACTTTATGAATCTAAACTTTCAAAAACACTAACAGTTGTCATTTTTGTGTCCGAACTCTTATCCAACTAATAACATCCAGTGACTCTACCACAGACTACAACCGATTGAAATTAAAGTTTTGATGTACACAGATGATATTGTATTGATAGCCGATACTGAAGAAATAATGCAAGAACTGATAAATGTATGGACAGAACAAAAAGAACAATCAAAAATTGGAATCAACACGAAAAATGCAAGATGATGGTAAATAAGAGAGAGAATACCAACACAAGTATATTATATCACACACAGAATTGGAAGTAGAAATACCGAATCAAATACTTGGGAAGTATTATCACGGACGATAGAAAAAAAGAACTTAAATCATCCAATAGAGCAAGAAATTCGAACAAGACATTCTTCTCATATTGAATATGATATCTGGCAAAAGAGAACTGACACAAGAAACAAAACTGAGAGTATGTAATTGTTATAAAGACCCTATTATAAGCCAGTGAGATGAGATTCCTGTGAAAAATAGAATAAGGAATGAATCAATAAGGAAAATTATGGAACAGAACCAATAACTAACAAGATAATGAAGAGACTACAAAACACTAAAAAGAAAATGAAACGAATCATCAGATACTATGAGTAGGCAATGATAATTATTTTTTCAAATTTCAACATTAACGTCAGCGACTATCAACTCGTTTTTCAATGGAAATTGATATTTTTTGAATAATTTCATTTTCCATGAGCCCTATTATTTATTGGAAATCATATACTGAATGTTAGACAATTATTCTATAAGGCGTTCTTAAATTCCATTGGAAAAACCAGCAATATCCAATAATATCCATTATTTTTTATAAAAAAGGCGAAATAAACGATGTACGACTTATAAGACATAAACTAAAAATATTAATGGGATGACGTTCCATTGGATCTGAAATTTATAGTTGAATATCATAACTTTGAAAAGTTAATTCTTATTCATTATCATGATTCAGATAAACACAATAATAGTCACGAGAATCTAGATTTATATCTCTTTAGTTACGTGAGTTACAGAAGAGTTACCTTTATCCAGATCCGTATGCAGGTTGATCTTCCCCCTCTCCGCATTCGGCGCAGCCACAGCCACCCCCACCCCCTGAACGTCCTGCCCCTTCGCCGCCCCCTTGCTCTCTCGCTTCACCTTCCCGTGCCGGGGGGAGGGACTCCTGCTCGCCCCTCCCAACCTGACCACGCCCCTTTCCGTAGCTCCACCCAACCCGACCACGCCCCTCTCCGTAGCTCCACCCAACCCGGCCCCGCCCCTCTCCGACTTGCACGCCTTGCAGGCCAATGCGGTCAGCGAGTTCTTCAGCGTGCACTGGTGGCACGCCCAGAACTCACCCTTCTTGAGGGTCATGTCGTGGTGGGAGGTGACGGAGCGCAGCTTCGAGCCGTAGCAGGCTTCGCAGATGAGGCTGCGGTCGCTGTTCACCAGGGTGCACTTCTTGCACGTCCATTGACGGTCGTCCCTGTTATCGGCTTCAGAAAAATATTGGGGTACAAGATTCGGTATATTTTCATCCCATCCCCCCATCATGATTACTTTGTCATTGTTTTGATTGAAAATTTAGTAGGCGAGGTATAAAATTGTCTGCTCATCGAAAAAAAATGTATTTCATTTGTTACCCTAACCATAGAAATTGTTCGTATTCCTGTCAAGATTCACATTTTGTTAACAAACAAGTCTCATGTTGAAACATTTCGAGTATGAACACTGTGCAGAGTAAGTGCAAACCAGAACTTCTTCAATTATTTTTTGTGGGTTTATATGAGCATGTAGGGAATAAAAGATACAATGCTGTGTAATTTTCTTCATATGGAAATAATTCAAAAACCAGTTAATCGTTTATTGCCCATTGAAAATTTTAATGGATCATGAAAGGCATATATCTATTGAGTTCCAATATGAGAAAAATGAAAACTTGATTCTTTTTGAGATACACCATTTTAAGAACAAAATTGACAAATGACCGATTCTTACTGAAAGTCTACAAAAATACAAATCATTCAACTTCCGCAAATATAGTGCCCGAAAAGGTCATGTGGTAAATGATAGGGCTGATACTGACCCAAAATAATGTCACTACTTTATATGAAGAAAATGTCTATCACTTTGTTACGGACCTTGAAAGTTTGAATAAAAAAATATATTCTATGTCAAACTGTTGCCATGGTATTAATGATATTTGGGCAACTAATTAAGCTCATACTAATGCTCCTTTCAATGATTAGGTTTTATACAGGATGAGACGATTTTTTTTTCGTTTAATGGAGGCAATTTTGACAAAGGTGACAAATTTGAACTTTCGCCTCCACCGTTTGATTCCTTCATCTTTTTACTACAAAAATAATATACATTATTTCAATCGATATCTAGAGAAAATCGCATTTTGAAACATACATCCCAATCGTTACAGAGGTAATGACAACTTCAATAACATCATGGTCATTGTTATAATTGACATCAAATTATTTCGACAGTATTTAATACTTTGGTAAAACCACGGATGAGTTTAGTAATGATGAGTATGATTATGTATGGACTTGCAGAAACTATCAAGGTCAATGACACAGTAACAGTGCGATAGAATTTTTGTTTTTTTCATATGAAATACCAAAATTATTTTGGCTCACTCTATCAGCCCTATCATTCACCTCATGATCTTTCCGGACACCCTGTATTCATATTATTACCTGGTAAAAGTTGGAAATCGTCATCTAGATCCTGTTCCAGTGTGGCTATAGGAACCTGTAGTTTTATGTCACTCCAATAATTGATGGCCCTGAATAGAATATAACAGAAAACAGCGAATTTAATGAAAAATGAACTGTGGTGCAATTGAATCTCAATCATTTGAATGAATGAAAAAACTCTGGCATAATAGATAAATAATTGATGAGGTTATTAATTATATTTTCGATGTTTGACCCTGACACTACTTTTTTCGATTTTGTATATTTTTTTATCAAAAACAGTTGATGGAAGGTCCCATAAGTCGAGAAAAAATTTAAAAAAATTTCCGAACTCGCTGTCCCTTCAAAAGGGCGGTAGGATAAAGGGCAAATATTAGAAAATTAATCGAATAATCAATTGGGGCATGATTGAAAAACCGTCATCGATCCAAAACTTGACAAAATCGTAACGATCACGATTGACCTTGTTTAAGAGGTCAATAAAATATAATGTGACACTGGCGACATCTTCAAACCGTCAGCTGCATCAGAAAAATACAGGTTTTGTTTTGAAGTCCTTTTGAAAGGACGGTAGGCGTAAATGGGTTAATAAATAATTAGTATTTTAGTAAATAGCAGATACATGCAATTATGGGAATCTTTGATTTTAACAATATTTCAATGAAAAATAAAACGGTTTTAAAGTTTAAATGGCCTCAAAATTTGTGAAGAAATAGCCGTATGAAAAAACATACATTGGAGAGGAGCCATTGAGACTCCTATCTTCAGTGACAGTGACAGTACACGGCTGATTCAAAGATGGTGGTGATCGCCAACTTTTGCATATATCACATCTGTCCACGCTGAAGCCGTTATATGCGAAAGAACATTGCCGGCATGTCCAACGTCTTTCATTCGGTGTCCAACTCAATTTCGAAGTGTTATTCTGTTTCATAATTTGCATTCTACAAAGAAAAGAAAATTCCAGTATAGTATATTTTTTTATAAGTTACCGGTCTCCTATATATGTGCTCACAAGTAAATTGCGTGATGTAAATTTGGCAACATGTTTTGTCAGAATTCAATGTGTTATTCATCAAGTGTGTGACCAAACTTCTAGAATTGATTTTTCGATTTCCCAAGTCGAAAAGTTTATGTAAACATGAGTTCGGAAATACATCGTTTCCAAGATGCAGGGCATCAAAGATTGGAAAAAAAACACTTTTCTGTAAATATCACAGAAATCTCTGACCCAATTTTGTTGAAATATTGCAGTGTTATTTGTTGTAGTAATGTACTGATTAAGCCATCACTAGATTCACGAAAAACCAATTTTTTTAAGTTTGAAACTGTGTATCTTGAAAATTATGCATTTTTGGAGCTATGGTCATATATGAACTTTTCGTCTTAGAATCACTAAAAAATTCGCCCCTTGGAGTTTGGCCACATACTTAAATAACACTCTGTATACTCTACTAGATCCGCATTTGCCTCACCATCCTGTATGTACAAAGCATTGAAAGTCACATGAAAAAGAGGAAGGACTACTGGCATGGCTCACCAACATAAATTACTAACTAGACCGCTGATACCATTAGATCAATGCTCATTCATTTACAAGATCAAACTTGGTTTTAATGGCGAGCGCATTCAGGACCTGCAATATATCTTACTCACTCTTACTTGAGTTTTCGTACATCAAGAGCCATTACGTGATGTCATGATCGAGAGTTTGGGAGGTACTGCGCATTGAGCAGAAGCGTTTTCAGGCAATGAAGCCTAACATTAAGTGAAAAACGTGGGTCTGCTCAAGTCTTTCCATAACTTGAGGTTATCTATTTGTTCAAATATTCTACATCATTTTTTCGAATATTTTCGATCAAACAGGCTACAGCCTTTATGGCTATCCAACAATATTTTGGGATTTTTGACTCTGACATTGACCTCACGTTTCAGGAACACCCACTGGTGAGACTGAAAGTATTAGCTCTCATTTGGATGAGAATTTTGGGTTGCTGGGATATGACATATAGCGGTCTAGATAGTAGTTATGCTAGTGGTATGACATGTACAACAAAGCACATTTAGTTTCACCCAACCATCAGCTGGGGTCGTTGCCACTCTCTCATTTGTCAAATAATTCATTGGTTGGTTCTCTATATATTTTATTAGGCGCGATTACAGTTCAATTTGAAATGACGTATTGAATTATTCATTGGTGGTCGAATAAAAACTAAAAAACTGTGTCTATTTGCTCTAACACACTGAAAAGTCGAGTGAGAATAACTTGCAATATCACATTCACAATATTATTAACATGGTATCAAAATGTTTACCCCCTATCATCAGCGGGATCGTTGTGCTTCTTTGCGTCTCACTTTTATGTTGTGGTCAATAGGCGAGTGGACTATTTTTTTTATTTCTTAAATAGAATTATCACTCAAATACCTTTCAAATTCATTTTTTTTTAAGAATTTTTCGGTCGATTTTTAGGTTTTTTGTCTCAAAATATTCCCTAATGATTTGTGGTTTATTGCTTAAAATAAATTTGTGTAAATAATAATTATATTGATTCACACTAGAGGATATTTGAATCGGTGACAACAGCGCACGAATTATGGGTGTGGTCTTGTCAGTTCTCAGCTTTATATAAATATATATCCTTTTTTGTATGTTCATAATTCATCTGAGAATATTCCTTTTCATCAACATGATATTTTGTTATGGAGAATAAGAAATATTTGGACATGCTGGGTGCTCGGAAAAGTCAAGAATGAACTCTAATATCATGGGTTCCTCCTCAACGTATCGCCAAATGGCGGCCATGCGTGTTCATTTGAAATGAGCTCTGAAATTCAACAATTTTGAACAATGCATACACATTATTTACATGAGAAAAGCGTGAGAAGTGTAGCAAAAATTGATTTAGGTTCTATAGACAATATCTAGGACTAGGGGTTCAATTTTATTAGATAAATGGTAGATTGTATATACAGTGTCCTACTTACCATACTCACCATGGGTATCTTTTTAACGGTGAGAGATACGAGGTCGGTTAAATGACACCAGATGTGGAGTTTGTCAAGGCCAACTATAATGTGAAAAAATATTTTGATAAAATCTATTCGTTTTTGTTTTATGCGCAAAAAACAGATTTTGATCATTTTCATGTCTTCTCCTTAACTTCTTTATTTATGAAAATATTCAAATAGGAATTTCACATTCTCATGGTAGTTTTTCAAAGTGATTTCGAAAAAAATATGAAATTTATACCAACTCTTCTAGAATTTGAGATATCAGCACCAACTTTACTTTTTCAAATGTAGGTCATAGCTCACTATGACTTAGTTACAAATAACTTTTTTTTCTATTACAGATGATATGTCACAGTAATAGTTTTGTGTTGATAACAACGGAGTTATCGTCATTTATACAAAAACAAAACAAATATTTGGAAGCCGCCAATAATGTATTTTCACCGAAATTATGAACACCTGCCAAATTTCAAGTTAATCGGAGTTATGGAATTTTTTTGAAATTAAAAAAAATTGCTTCTCCAAGATGGCGGACAAGATTTGGTCCGATTCCATTCAAAATTGGTAAGTGGGGGTTTTTGAGGTCGGAGATCATGTTTGTTTGTTAAAATTTATAAATTCAAGATGGCGGCTTCCGAATATTTTTTTGTTTTTGTATAAATGACGATAACTCCGTTGTTATCAACACAAAACGATTACTGCGACATATCATCTGTAAGAGAGAAAAAAGTTATTTGTAACTAAGTCATAGTGAGCTATGACCTACATTTGAAATACTAAAGTTGGTGCTGATATCTCAATTTCTAGAAGAGTTGGTATAAATTTCATATTTTTTTCGAAATCACTTTGAAAAACTGCCATGAGAATGTGAAATTCCTATTTGAATATTTTCATAAATAAAGAAGTTGGGGAGGAGACATGAAAATGATCAAAATCTGTTTTTTGCGTATAAAACAAAAACGAATAGATTTTATCAAAATATTTGTTCACATTATAGTTGGCTTTGACAATTTCCACATTTGGTGTCATTTAACCGACCTCGTATCTCTCACCGTCAAAAAGATACCCATGATGAGCATGGTAAGTGGGACACACTGTATTAGTATACAACGTTTATCTTGTTAATCAGAACGGAAATAAATTGGTTCCAATTGATGTTGGTGCAGTCATAAAGAGTAATCCATAATAATGGCTGTAATACTCATGATTTCAACAACGTAACACATCATTGGTGTGAAATTAATGTAGTTTTGTAAAAACTAAGTAAACAAGTTACCAGTATCAGTCAATTACAAGATATTAGATGAATTATTGTGGAAGCAAACAGTTGTAGCCTCAATTTTTCATGCATGAGAGCTCCGAAGATACTCACATTTTATTATGTTCATCCTGATCAAACTCCATGTTCTTTTTCTGAGCATTTATCACGCTCTGATTTTCGTAAAAGTGCTTCTCCTTGTCCGGTTCCGAAATACCGATATACGTATACAATGTTCTGGGCTTCACTCCGGAAACGTTGAAATTTTCGAACAGCTGGGTATATTGCGAGGACTGGATATCAGTCATCGAGGTGCTGGATTTGGGGCCTCTGGAGAGCGAAGGGCTACCCTCCAGAGATCGGCGGTTTATGTTGGGTACGTGCAAGTTTTGAGCTGTGGGCAGTTCGGAGAATGATCTCCGGTAAATCGGTTTTTGGTTGGGGATCCGGGAAGCCTCTTTATCCGACCAGTTGTCGACCTGTAATAATGTGACGGCATGAAAGACTGCAGGATATCCTCGGACCATAAAAGACCTCGCTTCTCTAATATTGGATGCTAATAGTAAACACACGAAACACGCCAACATAGTAAAGGTGAATGAATTGCGTAATGAAGTACATTATACACCTAGCGGCTAAAGTGGTATTTTGAATCCCGAGACAAAAAGTTTATAGCCTGACCAACAGGAGGGCTATGTCATATTTTGTGATTTGAGCAGGGCATTCGACTGTGTGAATCACACAAAATTATTGTCATCTCTTGAAAACTATGGCATAAGGGGCTTATCCTCTAATTAAAACTCCTCTCTTCTAAGAAATCGTGAACAATTCGTTTCCGTTCAACATTCTTATCATGATGGAATACTAAGGATCACCTCCAAACCTATAGCTGTTGATATGAGAGCGCAAGGGTGCATTTTAGGACCTATCTTATTCATACTCTATGTCAATGTCAAATTTCGATGAATGTTTGGATTGGAAATCTCAATGTTCTCAGTTAGTTTCAAAATTGTATTCTCTAGCATATCTTTTCATGAATTCACGTTTTGTGCTTGATGAATATCAGTTGCTGAGTTTATATCTTGTTCAGACGGGATCTTGACTGAGGTATGGTGTCTGCCTTGGGGTCATTCCACAATGACCAAAAATGTGTTATCGCACAAAAACGTATTGTTAGGGGTATTGGCAGAGTATCGAGAAGAAATACATGCAAGGATTTGTTTCTTCAGTTTCATATTCTGATATTGCCTTTTATTCTTATATTTGGAACATGTGTACCTGTATTTGAAAACAAACCAAATATATTGTAGTAAATAGCGCTATTCGTCAAATTGATACAAGACGCAAAAATCTGTTTCATGTACCATATGTTAAATATAAAATAACTTCTGTTGCTCCAAACTATATTGGGCCCAAAATTTTCATTTACCTTACATAATGAAAAATAGTGATTCTATATCTTTATTCAAACGTAGGATTAGAACTTTTTTAGTAGATAAATGTTTTTAGTGTAGGAGAATCTTTCTCATTATGAATCTCTGATTCTGACAATTTGACTATTCCTATATAATATTTGTATTATCAAAAGGAAAATAAATTGTTTATTATTATAATAATTTGTCAAGGGATTCACGAACACTTTAGTCCTGAGGTGTATTTATCATTTTATGTACTTTGGGATAGTTAAAACGTTGATAATAACGATAAAAGAAATTAAAAGCCACTGAACGGTAGGTACCTACTTAATTTCTAAAACGTCATCGAAGGGGCTGATTGTTACCATATCAACAACCTCAGTAACTATGGTGATCTAGATTTCGGACAAAAAAGTGGTACTTTAAATCACTATGGATTTTAAATGTACTTTAAATCACTTGGGATTTAAAATGTACTTTGAATCTCCAAAAATAGGGATTTAAAGTACCCTACGAATTAATCCCTGAAGAGCATGAAATAATAGAAGTGTGTTGATAAATACACAACATTGCAAATATTAGCACCTCCGTAAGCAGTATTTTTATATTTTTTGTGAGTACCCAATTTTGACGACCCCGAAAACGGCCAAATACTGATTTTTAATAGAATCGGACCATGATTACAAAAAGAAAAAGATATCGTAGAGAGGTGAAAACGCCGAAACAAATCGTAGAAAATAGTTCCCTCTCACCCCTATCTTTAACTTTTAGGTGCAACTTGGTTGAAAAAAATCTCGTGCCTAGCAAATATTTTTGTTCATTTGGCTGATAAAAAAGTACCTATACAAAATTACCTGTTGTTTTGCTTAAGAGAGAGAGAGCACTACATGTTCACAACTCCTCTGAAATTTGGGAGAATGGCAAGATAATCAAATTACAAGGTCGATTGTTATTTAATTTCCAATTTTATCTATATAAGATATACTTTTACTACTTTATTGTATCCTCTGATTTATTTAGTGTAGAGTATTATAACTGAACGAATGTCTTACTTTTGATGCCTAATCCACCAATCCCCTTTATCACAGTCATTAATTGATAAAACCGAGGATAAAACTTCAGGAATTATATTTTCTCAAAATAACTTTCGTTGCTTACACAGTTGCTCCCTCAGGTGAAATTCATGTACAATTTATCAATTTGTGCCTGTGCTATCAACAATTCAATGCCATTCATTGTTTTTGCAGGACAATATATGAAAAACCGAGTGAAAAACTGATACCACATCTTGGTAATTTGGAATTATTCACATACAGGACTCCAAAAGCATGATAAACAATACTGTGAAAAAATACATCTATGTAGTTTTGCGAAAAATCAAACCACTTTTCAATTCAATGAAAACACACGAAATGTGTAGCAAAATAATGTAGATCTGAAAAAAATATATATTGATGCGAGCGGATGCGAGTATTTGGTGGGAAACACATGACTAATAACTGACATTAAGAGAAAGAGCAATCAAAGTGAGACATGCTGAACACGATGCTGAAGCACATGCTCCATATACACAGGGTGTTTCAAAATTGTAGATGAAAGGTTGACTCCTCGGTTGACTCAGAATATAACATGATGATGTAGAAATGTTATCGCCATCTAGTAGCATAGTTCTAAGATAGGACCATGAAGATCGCGACATAAACTGTATGACGCTGCCATCTATGGTCAACATGTGCAGACCCCTACGTCTACAGCGTTTCAAAGTGGTACTACAAGTAAACCACTCTGCTGACAGATGGCACTACCTGAACTTGAGTGGAAGTTCCACCAATCCTATTAATTGAACTGGATCCGAGGGGAAAAAACTCTTTAAATAGGTGTACACCTTGAAATTTCAAGTACTTACTTAAATACCATATTCAATTCATTGAGTAAGCTTCAATATGATTGAATAAGTATTTGGTGTTGTAATCCATTTTTAACTAATTGTCCTTGAATAATGTGTTTATGTACTAATTGTCCTTGAATAATGTGTTTATGTGTTACTGCTTGTAAAATTTCTACTTACTTATTTTAGCTTTTATTGTTAAGGTTCTTTCGTGACTAATCCTACACAATGTAACATTTGATTGTCTTACAGGATAATAAAAACTATTATTATTATATTATTATTAATATGCTCTTAAGTGCTTCAAGTACTAGTGTTGAGTATTCAAAATATGATTTTTCTACAAACGTCAAAAAATGACAAGGTTCGCGAATTGATAACAAATTGCGAAGTGACACTTTTTTTCAGTTTCCTACGTTACCATGATTTCTTGCACAAAACAATGCGCGAAGTAAAACAGTGCGCGAAGTACCTATTTCGCGCACTGTTATGTAAAATATATGAGATATTTATATTTCAAGTTTATGTTCCTCAATCGAGCAGACATCCACAAAATCATTTATTTCTGAGTGTTCATTAATAACTTTGTTTTTTCTCTTGGAGCGCACGAAAGGAAATTCCTATTATGTTCGTGGAACATCGTGCTCACCTAGGGAGGATAGGGGGAAACCTTTTAGGCCAGTTCAACACTATTTTTCATATCAAGCTAAGCATATTTTCACTTTAGAACTATATTTTTTGACGTTGGCAGAAAAAATTTTGTTTGCAACTCGAGCGCGAAATACTTTGGTCATCTCGACTATTTTTTTAACTCGGCTACGCCTCGTTAAAAAAATCAGATCTCGATCACCAAAGTAGCATTTCGCGCTCTAGATACAAAAATAACTATTAAATCTCGCTTTAAATATTTTAATACTCTCTTTTCTACGGAAATAACACAAAATTGCTATTGTTTCACTGTGTTACAAATCAGATGATTTTTCCTTACTACACGTATATTGAAATAATATTCATATTTTTATTTTATAGAAACGAGGAGAGAAAATCCCAAAAAATTTGGAATAATCAATGTACCACCTCCTCGATTAACCTACAGACAGTATCACAAGAGTAATTGAATATTATGCATCCAACATCGGTATATGGTTTCATCTTTGAATGGGTCATTTTTAGACCAGGAATCCATTCCGGACATTCTATCCAGTGGTGCCCTACAACTCCTACAAGGGGTTGTGGCAACTTTTCCTCCCATATTTTCTACGCCACTGATTAAATCTCGATTATTTCCAATTCCTCGAATTCATTGTTCAATTCTGTTCTGAAAATGCATCACCTTCAACTGAGCTGAAATGAACAGTTTTCGAGATATTCCACCCAAAATAGAAGATTGCATAGTAATATTTCATCATTTTCAGTAGTAGAAAATTGCAAAAATATTTTTCTGGTGTTGAGTAGATTAGATACTATTCGGATCTCATTCTATAGCTGAACAGAAATAGTTATTCCACGCATAAAGAGAAAACAATTTTTTTGTGATTTTCTACTACTGAGGAAGATGAAAAATTGCTATGCAAACTTCTATTTTGGGTCAAATATCTCTAGAACTGTTCATTTTAGCTCAGTTGAAAGTGGTGCATTTTTTCAACATAATTGAACAATCAATTCGAGAAATTTGGAATAATTAAAATTTCATCAGTGGCGCAGAAAATATGGGAAGAAAAGTTATCACAACCCTCTGTAGCGCACCTTTGGATAAAATTCTCGGAATGTCTTTCTGGTCAAAAAACGAACCATTGAAAGATGAAACCGTATACCGAATTTGGATGCATTATATTCAATTTTTCTGGAGATATTGCGAAAAAACTATTTTAATTTCTCAACTTCAACGCCCTGTATCTCGAGAACTGAACACTTGAAGACCATATGTCCCTATCTCAGTGATTATGAAATCACGAGGGCTATCACCTGTCAAGCGTTGTCGGTCGAATTTTTGAACACCCTGTATAACACTTATACGATATTTTGAGTATTAGCCTTGAGTTTAGAATGCAGATTTTGTTGGATATAAAATCAGCCGATGACGTGCCTCGAATCCTTCAAGAATGCACTGTACGAACCATATCATTCAATGTTTTCCTTCAATTTGACAACATGATGATGATAAATATCCCGAGGGGGAGGACACGGCGGCAATAGGTGTACAAAATGTTCGGAAATGAATGGCAATACTTGAGACATTATAAGTATTATATAGTCGGCATTGAAGACGGTATGAAGAAATAGACGGCAATTGATATGAAATATTCGGCAATAGATCGGCAATTGTTGGGAATAAACTGCATTGAATGACGTAACAGCGAAATAAAGTGTCTGTCCAATCATTAATCGATTGCAGTGAGTAATCCGAGGAGTATTCCCTGTGTTGTTTTTATTTATATTTCGAATAGGTATGTTGTTTTTTTATTCGAAATACCTCAACTGCCAATATATTGAATGTGACAGGACACAACACACATAGATGTACCCGAGGATGTACCTAAACATTGCCGAAAAATTTGTCTCGTGAAATCAGTGTAGGTACTTGCAAGCCCTAAAGCAAAACTTGAAGTACACTGAGTAACATTTTCTAGGAGTTTTCCAAAAGGACATGACAGAATTTGAAAATGAACTAACTCCTGAAACGCTATCGAAATCAAAATACCGTGAATATAATAAATGAACAATAATTTTCCAAACTGAAAAAATCACTCTCAAGAAATCGAAAAAAATACCCACATAGGTGTGAATTCAGCATGAAAATGAAGAGACGTACGAGGAAAATTGAAAGTAAACACTTATTCTCGTACTCATCCAAATTCAGATCTGGTCTCGTCTTCTGAGAACATGTCGCGATTCTTGTTTATCTCTTGGAGCGCACAAAAGGAAATTCCTATAATGTTCGAAGAACATCGTGCGTACATACGTACATAGAGAAGATAGGGAGAGGAGGTAGGTGTTGCAATTTTTCTTGAACTATTGGAGGTTATAATACGTTCTAAGGAATACTTTCATTGGCAAAGAATTCCAAAGCAGTGGTAATTTAGAGAGCTGATACCCTCATAATTATGTTCTATGAAGACGAGTATATACATACCTACCAGCTTGGATGACCCTGCCTCAATATACTTAACAAAAAAATGGGCAATTATCTAAATAAATTTCAAACTAGTATCAGAAAAAAAAAGTATATTTAAACTGTGGAATACTTCTGGAATCTGTTACCAGTAATTTGTTCATGGGATATTTTAGCTACTCTTTGCCAATTTCAAGAAACATACAGAGAGAAATAAGTATTTTGGTACTTTCAAATGGAACAGATAAATGTTTAGAATAGTTGTGGGCATAAAAAACAATAAGGTATTCTAGTCATATGGTATTGATAATAATGTTCAGCATTTAGGCATGAACTAGCATTTAATGCTGAAACTGGCAATAGGTGTACATAATTTTGAAGCCTGACAATATTGAATTGCTTCAGATACTTGATGTCTATGAACTGTAATGTCACAAGCTCCCATACTTCCATATTTCAAAATGAATGATATTTAACCAAATTATAGAATACTAGAATACATTTTCACTATAATAAGAGGATTTAGGTAGGAAACCAACTACCCTCTGTGTAATAAAGATAGACATTGTAGATATTTTGATGAAATCATCACATGAGTCATTATGATTTATTTGGGCAGCAGTGTACCTACCTACTGAGATATCACTACTTAAGAAGGTAATAAATTCTAGAATTAATTGAAAGATTACATCCAGTGGCACAGAATGAAGATTAGCAGAAAGATACATACAGAGAAAACTACAAAAATAAATAGAGTAGAAATAATGAAATCAAGTAGGTACTACTATAAGGAAAGTACTCAGCATCTGTTTGTTGTTTACAAAAATCTCAACTCCATGCAGCATTCACAGAAGAATACGGAAAAATACCAAAAAATAAGGAAAAACACCAAAAAAATACAGAAAAATATTACAGTGAAAAATGACAAGTTACCTTAATGAAGACACTAGGCTTTATATTACTATTCAAATCTGGTGAATATGGGGATTCACAAGCTTCACACACTGTTAAACTAGCACAATTCAACAATGTACATTGTTTACAAGTCCAGGTACCACTAGGTACCATGCTTTTGACTGTCCACATATAATTTGTGGAAGGATAAGATGCTGCATTTATACCACTTGCAGTAGTCCTTATATTTTTTGGTTGTTGACCATCAATTAGGGAATCACAGCTGCTTCGTTGGGCCACAGAACAATTCAAGCTGTTTATTAATGATAAAGACTTGTTTCGTTGACATGTACATGGTGGTGGTTTATCACAATTCAGAATATTGTAGTCAGGATAATTCTCCACAGGTGTTAATGAACAAATCTTACAGGGAGACTCCATAAGATTTTTTCTCAACAAATCAGAGTTGCATAAGATACATTTGACTGAGGCAGTACTCAAAGAAATGTCACAACTAGTGCAGTACTTTCCAGATTCTAAAGAAGCTAGGCTGGGATATTTCTTCAGAATAGAATCTGTGACTTTACTTTTATAAAATGATTTTATTGGGGAAGTTATGTTATCATTCAAACCAGAACAGTATCCTTTGTCTACAGCACTGAAAGAAATTGACCCATATTTATTGATCTTTTTGAATGAAGGTTAACACAAAATGTTTTTGAAACTCCTACCTGTTCACTTCTTTCCTGATTGAAGACCTGAGTCTTTTAATAACAGTACATTTTTGTAGATCTTTGGAGGTATTTGCCCCATTGAATGGGTCCTTTTCACTGGAATAAACTCTTCTTGAGCCACATCTGATACATTTTAATTGTTCTGTGGGATTGATCAAACTGCAAAATGTACAATGCCATTGCAATACAGATGCAATCGCTCCCATCGTAAATGGTACATGGTTATAAAACCCATTAATCACTAATAAAAGGAAAATATTCTCACTAATAATAAACAGCTGATGATAATATTTGTATTTTGAAAAATTACAAAAACAGTGAAGGACATCTAGAACCGAAATGTCAATTAATTCACGTTCACAGTCTCACAGAATATCAGAACCAGAATGACAGTGGCAGAATGTATTCGAGTTTTAAAAAACACAAAACCTTAGCACAAAACACTCAACAAATATTTTCAAAATTCATATTCCTGAAATATTCAAAAATTTTCAAACTTGGAACTACGAGCGTTTTGAGAGTGATTCACTTTCTGTTGATTTTTGTTGTTATCTCTTAGAGCTCCCGATATTTTGAGTAATTAATCATTTGCAGTTTTTTTGCAACAATCTTCTCCCTTTACCCATTGCTATTACTAGACCTTGCCACAAACTATAAAAAATCGTTTTTTGAAGAATTCAAACTCCCTGTGCTCCAAAGTTATTTTAGTCATTGCATGTATGTGACTACTCGCTATACAGGGAAAACACTCTGGGGTGATTACTATGGGAGTAATGGCACTTGCTTTCAAACTCTGGAAACTATTATAATCATACAGGGTGTCCCATAAACAATGGATCAAAACAAAGTGGGGTGGTCATTTGTAATCAAACTAACGTATATGTCGTTATCTATCTATATCTAATAATTGTTGATGGTTCAAAAGTTATTTAATTTTTCTGAAAAATGCTACCCATTTCAAAAAAAATAATAACAAAAAGGCCGTTTTGAATAACCCCATATATTATACCATTTCGGGTTCTGTATCAAATGGGCAATTTTTTCTTATGATTGGTTATCTCTTTAGGGTAGTTTCAAAATCTGCCAGCGGCATTCGGAAATTGCCTTAAATATTTCATTCCATGACAAAACTCAAGGAAAACAACATATTTCTCAGATGATTGATAAGAAGCATAAGAAGTAATAAATGTCATAACACTATTTCTGGGGGAAGGTGCATCCATTTGGATAAAATTTGTGAAAGAACAAATCACAAATGTGACATAGTTTTATTGTAATAAATTCTTCTTATAGAAATGAAAAAACATTGGGAGCTTCTGAACAATCAACAATTGGAGAACCACATATAAGGTTGGTTTGATTGGAAATGACCCCATCTACCACCCCACTTCATTTGATGATACCTACCATAAAGTTGAAATAATACCAAATTATAAAAAAAATCATTTTATTCCTTAACTATTATCTAGAAATCATATTTGTGGCAATACAGATGTCTTAGCTCAGGTACTTTGGAAAAATATTACATCCTCAGCTGCAATTGCTGTAGTTGTTTTTTGTGAACCATCCTCTGTTTTAATTTCTCCATAAGTTATACGACCTGTGACATGAACTCGCTGTCCCTTTTTCAAATAGTTCAGGACTGTTTCTCTGAGTCCAGGTTTGAAACATACAACTCGATGCCATTCTGTCCTCTGCAAGAACTCTCCAGATTCATATCTGTAATTGGTATGGGTTGCTATGGAGAATACAGCAATAGGATGTTCATCTGTTCCCTTTCTTTGGGGATCAGCTCCTACTCTGCCCAAAAGTTGTACACTGTTGATTGCTGAAACAAAAAAGTTGAGTATAGTAACATATTTATATTATCTCACTTGTTGAATAGGGGAGTTATGTTACCAACTTTTTTCTATCCTTGGCGGTTCTTGCTGAGTTGTAGCTGTAGAAGAACATCTTACAAGAGATTCAGACAGTTTATTAGTGGTTTTTCTGAGTATTGTAGATACAAATGTTGCAGCCTAAAATTGATGAATTATTCAAAATTTTCTTGTAGTTGATAAAAACATACCTTTGAGGAAATCATAATTATCAATGATACACACCTATGAAATAATGTATAATGTTGAGATAAAAACCAAAAGAAGTAAAAAGCAAGAAAGTGAAAAATGAGGTTACGTTACGGTACCGAAATGAGGTTAGGTCACACGTCACACGTCACACTCATCACACTTTCCTTTTCGGCGTTTCGCAGTAGGAATTTAGAGGGTAGTTGGCTTCATTCTGACAGGTTATGAATAGTATTTTTATTATTTATACATTGATACTTCTCAAATTCGTTCCTAACCGCGATATTATTTTGAATCAATGGATCACTATCGGCCACATACAATAATATCCTTCCACGTTCACTGCCACCAGATCAGAACAGAATGAAGCCGATGACCATGGATTCTGTCGGAGGTCCGAGTCCGAGACGCTCACTGGAACTACCAGCTCACTAGATTCTTTCTCCATATTTAGAGGACAATGCAACCAATATAATAGTGTTATGATACTTCTTTTATTGAATTCATTATTATGATTCTTGCTTCTCTTTGTTATTTTTTATACGACGCGTCTGAACTGCCATCCTAGAATAGTTATTTGTTTAACTAGGCAGCAAAGTAGTAGATTGACTGCCGATGCTGAATTCATAGCCGAGCGGGAGGATATTGTATTTGCAAATTATTACAATTCCCACAATCTCTCTATTTTTCCTGTAGTGTTCAATTAAAATAATGTCCAAAATAATTATAGTTTGACAATTCATGAAATTTCTGACAGTTGTGCAGAAAAATATCAGTATTTATAAATTATTATATAATGGACAGTAATAGCGATCTGGAAGTACTTACTCCTCCAGAAATAAGGGAGGTGGCAAGAAATATAGAGTTGAATTTGTTGCCGGAGAAGTCTCGGATGAAATATGAAGGAAATTATAAACGATTTATGCATTATTAATTTTGCTGACACATATCGATCAGCAAAGTAACCACTATAACCACTTTGCTATTGATATGTGTCAGCAAAATCAATATTTGCTGCCAATCGGAGGAAAAAACTTTTTTTTCACTAACATGGGGGTGCGTTTTTCATTTCAACATTGTGTCATGCACATGAATCCAAAAAAGCATCAAACTGTTGCAAAATTCCGCTGGAATGTATGATGGAGATCCATCAAACCTCCAGAAACAACATATATCACATTTTTAGGAGTGTTTTTCCACTAGGGCGTGTTTTTCATTCCAACATTTTGTCATGCGCATGAATCGAAGAATCCATCGTAGTGTTGCAAAATTCCCCTGGAATGTTGTTAGAAATCCATCAAACACTGTGATCAAACTGTTGTAATAAAATGCGCACTTTCAAATCGCTTTGCGGGAATCCAGCGGTTTGGAGGAGACTGACATGACAATTGACACATTTTACGTATTATTTCTCGTTGTTGATTGAAAATATAGAGGAATTTTCGAATTTTGAGATTGTTGAGAGTTTTGAGAATATGGAGAAATGTCTTAATCAATAAAATGGTATCATCTTCTTCTAATTCTGAAGATACATAACGACTGACACACAACGAAATCCTTTTTTCCATCAATGTGTTGTATAATCCAGTCTTCCATCGTTCCAGCATAAATTTCATCAGAACAATTGGTGACGTCACGACAAAAAACCGCATCTATCAATGCGCACTTTCTTCGATGGAATGAAAAACACGCCCCTCTCTGTTTTCCACACTGCATAATATGATGATATAGCACCAATATGTATTCATTTTGTCAATATTTGTGTGGTTCTGTCAAACGATCTGAGCTTTTTTCCGCAAAAGTCGGACTGAAACAGACTTTCTAGCTTATGACCTTGATAAGCGCTTTCTGACGAATCGGCCAATGAGATGAGGATACGCTGTAAGTCAAAAGGCGAAAAGCCAGCATGTGAACGCGCCACTAGGCTGCACACTCACTCACTGGTCAGTTGTCAGTGTTGACAGCTACTGGTCAGTAGTCATTTCCATTATTGATTGATAGTGTATAGGCTGCCGACTAGTCGGCAAACTATACTTTCTCTCTAGACTGCCGACCATTTAGTGGAATACATTCTTTCTGTATAAAATCGGTCGGCAACCCAAAATATAAGTGTGGCTTATGTCTAATCACTATTTCACTAAGCTTCTCAACCTCTTAAATCTTTTTGGCATACAAAAATAATGATTGTATTCCACTGAATGGTCGTCAGTTAAGAGAAAAAGTATAGTATGCCGACTGGTCGGCAGTCTATACTTTTTTTTTGGGATGCCGACCATACATACTTTTTCTCTTAACTGACGACCATTCAGTGGAATACAATCATTCTTTTTGTATGCCAAAAAGATTCATGAGGTTAAGTAGCTTAGTGATTAGACATTGGCTTGTCAATCCTGTGGTTCCGTGTTCATATCCCATATAAAAAGTTTTTTTTTTTCTAATTTTTTTTATCAGATTTTTATTTCACTAATCGGTGAGTCTGTTTGGGTTGAGTATACATCACTTTCTTTTTATATTTTATTGTTTTCTAATCTAGTTTTTCCTTCCTCCAGTGTTAGTTTACAAGATTTTTTGTGATCACGTTTTGTTCCAATAATAGGTTAGTGAGTTTTTTTTAATCATGTTTTTTCTTTCTTCAAATTGATAATTTTAGTCTACTGGTCGGCATCCTAAACAAAAGTATAGATTGCCGACTGGTTGGCAGTCTATTCACTTCCTTATTAATTTGTTAAATTTGTTTTGACATAATTTTTGACATTTTGACATTGCATAAATGGTGATTTTCAATTTTGATTATTCTATAATTCCACTCCATTAGTTCCATTACTGGAAATAAAGGATCAAAACTAAATAGACAACAATATAGTATACTCAGACTAGAGCTGTTAAATCAAAGAATGTAAGTGGCCGAAGTCATCAGCATGATTGTAATCAATATTGTTTATTTATTCAGTATCTTTTGAAGTAAATGGCATGATTATTCATAAACAAATCGAATTTTTAGCCATATCTGACCATGCCACTCTCCGGCAATATCAATTTGCATATTCACTTTCAATTAAATTAATTCAGTTATATGGACATTACAACTCATGCCATTTCTTGTCTTCTTGGTATCTCCAATGATAGTCTCAAAAAGTCATAATAACCTTTGTTTATCAGTTTTTAGGAAGAGGACATCTCAAGGGATAATGGATTGTGAGCTGACAGCATTAGCTGTAAATATTTTTCTCCTTTAATTCTGCTGTTGCATGTACCTGTTTTTTGCATGGATGTGTTCATTGAGCTGTACCAGTTGCACGAATCTCATATTTATACCACACTATGCAACTATGCACAGGTAAATATAATAAACTGCTTTGTCATTCCTCTTAGTCATTAGTAATATAAAATTTTTCATATGAAGCAATCACATATTTATCTAAGTCCCAAAACTAACAGTACTGTTTGAATCAGTGTCAAGAAAAACTCTGGGAGAATATTCTATTGTAAATAGGTTACTGAAAATGGTGGAATTTGTTTTAGTCACAGTACCTATTATAAATATCCCATAATTAATCTCACTCAATCTTACAGCAAGTCTTTCAGCATAGTACTTGTAAACAAACTTGTTAGAATGTAGGCTAAATTTTTCATCTTAGCTTGATATTATTATTTTTCCATATTCATCAGCAGGTGACTCAATTTCTAAGAAAATTTGTTCATTGGTCAACTACAAATTTTGATGTTTTTCCGAAAATTTGAGTTTTATGCTACAAGTTTCATTAGGTATATGACCATATTTTAGGGCAGTATAAGGAATCATGTTTTTTCTGCTGCAGAAGTTAATAGCAAAACACACAAGTTTTCTATCAGTGAATACAAATGGTAATATTGAAAAAATATATTATTAATTATTTTTGAAAACACTATCTTCTAGTCTGAAACCATAATATTGAATATTCAATGATTTAGAGGCTTCAAAATATTCTTCCATGAATAGATGATAGTAATTATAACTGATTTTCTATTCACCTATTTGATATCTTCTGAAAAAATATGGGATTACATTCTGATAATTTATTTCAAGTTGAAAATTGAAAATTCAGATGGTTCAAAATATTCATGAAAACCTTGTAGCTTAATGAATTGTTGACTATCATTATACCCTCATCTTTAGTGAATACCAGGTGGTAATTTGTTTCACTGTAGGTGAATCATTTTAGCACCAGGTTATTTTTCTTGGTATGTTTGAGCAATGATGGTGAGAAACAATATTGTATCTTGCTCTGCATCATACTAGCCTATATCAGACTATGTGAATTGAAAAACTATTATACCAGTTTGTTTCAAATACATACAGAGTAGAGTGTTCCATTTTCTACTTGAGAATCAAAAAATGATAAGATTCTGTGACTAAATATTAAAAATCAAGTAAATTAATCAAGAACACTACTTTGATGTTCAAGATTTTATATTTTCTCATCATTTCATAGTTATATTTTATTGCTTCATAAAATCACTAGGTATTTTCTCTCAAATTCGTCATTCTGTTGTAGTGAACATATAATAAAGTATCAGGTAAGATTTTGATTCCCAAATTATAACAAATTCTGCCAATAACATTGTGTTTATGTATTTTGTTACAAATATTGGGGAGCTAGAATCAAAAGCTTTCCATTATGTCCCACTGACAGTTGAAACTTGTGACAAAGTAAAAAAATGGAAGAATACAATATAATAGACTAAAAAATGTGGAAAAGCAATAGCTTGAAAATTTCCTCAATATTACTGAATTGAAAATTATTAACTAGGTACTTGAAATAGACATATTAACTCTCCATATTGAACATACTGATTCTCAAATAATCACCACATCTTTACATTACACTCAACTTCTACTAGTCAGACAGATTAGTGAAATTATTGTAAGATTTGTGCATTGGATAATGGAAGCATACAATGAGGTTTGATTTTGGATATGAGGCTATCTTTAATTTTCCCCATCGCAAGAGTAGCTCCACACTCGGATTTTTATTCTGTGCAAAAAGCTACTTTACACCTCAACACCTTCTCATGATTTACAAAGCACAAATACGGCCTGCTTTAGAATACTGTTCCCACATATGGGGTTCAGTACCCAAACATACTCTGATGCTCTTAGATTCCATTCAGATAAGAGACATTCGCCTGGTGGGTGATGCCACACTCACTAACACTTTGACACCACTGGAACTCAGTAGGCGACCTTTCACTTTTCTACAGATACTCCACGGGAAATGTTCTTCATTCCACGACTAGCTATACCAGTCAGACGAACTTGACAAGCGCAGTCAGCACATCCATTCATTGTCACTTTATCAAAACTAGTTTCTCTATAGAACGGCAAAGCTCTAGAATGCATTGCCTGAGGAAGTAGTTTCAAGAGATTTGTGCTTGTGGTGGTATTTGTACTCAGTTATATCATAATCATATCAGAATGTTTTGTTTTAAATTGAGCATAAATACATATACCTAACCCCGCGCAAGTTTCAACTTGGTTCCCAACTACAAAGTAGTGAAATCAAAGCAGTAAAATAAAATACAATATTTTTTACAGTTCTCCACACACAGAATGGACCACTTATAATTTTACTCTTTCTTTCGACGACCTGTATCTTTTGAAGAAATCGGAAGAAGGCCGTTTCTAAATATCATGAATGGAATTTTTTTTAATGAGATTTTTTTCCTATTTTCCTTTCACCCTGTACATTCTACTATGGTGCTATATGCGTCTCTCATCGACCTCCAGGAAACATGGAAACAGATCTACCCAATATTTAGTTCTAGTGGAGTTCTGGAGAAGAATATCAAGAAATGCAAGACTTGAAAAAAAAACATTTTCGTTCCGATGGCAAATTAGGGATAAATCACGAAAACACCCCGAGATGAACTCCCAGTGTATCTATCATATATGCCTGCATTTTATTGGAACAGTTCAGCTATCCTTGAGAGAGAGAAAAAATGTCTTCCCGTCTTACCCATCTGTCCTTGTCTTCAGTGTTTCAACGTAACAATGGAAATTTCAAGTCGGTTACATTGTAAATGGGAAAAATTGGAGAAGAATATTATATTAACCTCAGAATGGTCGTCTTCTCCATTTCTTCTGATTTGCAGTTTTGCCAACTTAAAATTTTCATTATTTTATGTTGGAACAATGATGGAAATAAGTAGATGGTGCGCCTATTCGGTCATTTTCACGTATTAAAAACTTGAGAAAAAATCACTCGACCGCCTACTATGATATATCTACGTCACATCGAGCGAGACGTTGATTCTACATTTTTCCGCTAGATGGTGATGTTGCTATTGCTCTTGTGACGAGTGGAAAAAAATGGCATTTTAGGTACGCGGAACATATGTAACAGTGGGTTTATTCAACTCTGAATTCAAAAAATCTGCGGCAATTTAAAAATAGACAGATGTCATGATTGTTCAATGCCGCCATCTTTCCGAAAACCGCTAAAAACATTATCCTAGGGACTCTCGGGAGGTCGAGAAGAATTTCTGAAACAAAAGCGCATCAGTGAGTACACCATCTACTTATTTCCATCATTGTTGGAACACTGAAGACAAAGATAGTTGGGAAATACATTTTTTTCACTCTCAACTCTAGCTGAACTGCTCTGTTAGAAAAAAGTCCTTGATTTCCGGTAGCATCATAAATGTAGCTATAGTGTAATGGTTCCACTTTACACACTGGGTGAGTTCCGTTTTGCGGACTTTTTCAATGTTTCAGATTTCTTTAAATTCGATGAAATATCACATCTGATGTCGAAAACCGCATGTAGATCGCTCAATTTCTCCAAAAGATACAGGTCGTCGAATTGTGAGTGGTCCATTTAGTGTGTTGGGAAATGTGTTATTTACAAAATGTGTATATATTTTTCAATACTAAGATTTATTATGCACAGAACAACAATTTCTTGCCACTACTGTACTATAAAGGCCTGTTCGTTTGTATTGCTAAACTTGCTAAAGTTGATTTTTTTCCATAGTTGTCTCTGTTCATGACATGATGTAAACAAAGAAAGTCATAGAAACAAATCAAGTTCAGCGGGTAGAGCAAGGACAAACGAACAGGCCTATTATCATTCAACATCATCTCAACACATTTAAAGGCAGCAGTTAACAATTACTGTCAAAGGAAAATTTTGAGATGGTCCCATATCCAATTTTGAGCTTCATAATATGTAGTCGACGTGGTCCAAATTGTATGCTTCTATCTCTAAATGCGCAATTATTTTACCTATCTGCCAGGCTATACCAAATTGTTGTCGGATACAATGAAAGCCAACATTTCCACCCTCCAGTTGGCGCTACTAAAACGTGAGGTCAGTGTCAAAGTCAGAAATCCCAAAATTTTGCCGGATATGCCTGAAGGCTATAGCCTGTCGTCGAAAGACTTGAGCAGACTCACGTTTTTTTTTATGTATATTTATCAGTTCAACCAACCCTGACCTAACGTTTCAGTTGCGCGTTCTGGTGGACAATAAATAATGTTATTCCCTCGGTTATTCTTCATTAGTGAGTAGAGTAGAGTGCTCGGTAGAGTGTCAATATTTCTAACTTCGTAAACAATGTGAAGTCAGAATTGATTGAAGTGTCTGCCTTCGTGAATAGGCAGGTGGATGGCATTCGATGAAACCATTGTCCATAGAGAATAAATTCCTATTGTTATATGATGAACTTCTATCTTAAGTTATAGTCTGGTGACGTATATTGACGTATATGACGTATATTTCTGGTCGTAAGGTTTTTTTCTTCTACTTATACGGTGAAAGACGTGATTTCAAATAGAAATATCTGTACATAGTGTTGTTGAAGCCTATTTTCACACATGCTCCCTCATTTTTTTCAAAATTGTTGTTGTTATGATGACAGTGCTGTTTTCAAGTGACAAGTGATTGTGGATTTTGAAAAGTTTGTGTTACTGTTACAAACCTCTGTTGTAATAGTGTGTTCGGAAGCTAATTCCTTTCCATTTGTTCTAGATTCTATTAGGCCCCCTTAATTGGAGGACCACGTGAAAGAAGTGTGAGTTTGTGATGCTAAGAAGTGCTATACTAGTTATACATAACCCGATCGAATATGGCCTATCAAACTGACGGTGATAGCTGGAGAAACTGCATACTAAAGCAGATTCAAGACAGAAACTTGCAGGAAACTGAGGCTTTCGAAGAAATAATCTATGAACACAACAAAATATTCGAGAGCTTCAATACCGTCCATCTAGAAAACATCCAACTATCCATACAGCTCGAAAAACTAAGATCAGAAAATCGCGGAGGTTTAGGCTCCAACAGCTCCAGCCTCGGCGAT